CACCGGGTGACCTCACCATTGTTTCTCCACAAGAAGCGCTGTAACTTGGTGGAACATGCTATTGAAAAGGCACTTTTATCGTAAGACGAATTATACAGCTTGTAACAGACCATGTTTGCACACGAAACCATTGAGTCAAGGAGGTGGCATAATTTGAATATTGAACTATGTTAACGTGTATTTTTCACGGGAAACGAGAGTGGATATTGTTTTTGTAAAGCGGAAGTGAGCCGCACGTTCATGAGTGATAAGGCAGTTCCTCTCATGACGAAGAGAAGTGAAGACGTGCTTGATTTTTCTGGCATGTGAATTTTCTATCATGCCATGGAGTATTGTATATTTATACATGCGTGAAATAATTGCATTCTGGATTTAATACCTGGATAATTGTGCAAGGATTCTCATTATTATTGTTGTAAATAAGTGATATAATAAAGAACTGTGAATTAAATTGAAGGTGATATCTACCTCTTGTGTGACGGACTGATAGAGCCTAGGAGTGAAAGAGTGAAGTATAAGAAGTATTACATTACACAAGCCGGCATCCTGAACAAGATGGTAAAGTAGTTAACCATGCTAGCACCCTAAGAAAACAGCATGTGTTACAAAGCTCTTATAAGAAAAAAAACGAAATTAGGGTCACCGGCCTAAACGGAATATTGTAAAATGTTTTTTTCTAATTTAGAAACATTTGCGCTAGTGCGCATATCAATTCACCAAGTTTAATCGCAATCGGATGAATGTTATAGAAATGCATACGATAATTATATAGATAATAAAAGGGTTGAAAACGAATCTGGGACCCCCGGCCACAAACGGAATAGTGTAGTATTGTTGTATTACTTCAGAAACCTAGTTTTTATGTTACAAACACAATTTAATGTCACTATTTGTATTTGATTAAAAATCTTTCCATCCTTGCATTAGCTCTGTTTGAAATTATAGTTGTATAGCTCATGTAGGAAAAAGCGATCATAGGGCCCCTGGCTAAAAATGGAATATTTTAAAATGGTTCTAATGATTTAAAAGAACCTTTGCGGGCGTGGGCAGAACATCTCTCAAACGTTTTATCGCATTCTAATAAATGGCTTTTACAGTTTGACTGGCTGGCAGTTATTGACCTATCGTCTGAATGTTGATATACAAAACAGGTTATAGGCAGACTTATTCCTGGTTCAGTTTTATAACAACTACTGTATATCATCATTACAAAGCATTTATTGAACATATAAGAATGGAAAATATAATTTTCCTTTTTGCGAAACAAATAACACATTTCATGAAAGACGTGATCTTAAATTTATGAATTTCGAAAACCTAATAAAAAGATAAGGATATAGTGCAATGAAAGTAAAATGAAAAAGTAAATCAATAGTATGTCAAGCAACTAATTACTGAATCCGTGGCTTGTTAATGCTCCTCAAATGCAACAACTAAAGAAACGTTCATTTGAGTAATGAGACGCCAGAAGTCCACCACTGTTGTTGGGAGTGGAAGTTGTGTGATGATATATTGATTCCTTTGTCTGAAACTCAGAAAAAAATGCAGGAAACAGTATTCAAAATGGATAATACTTAAGCTTTATATTAAAATACTTTATTTAAATATGCATATATGTCAAAAATTTAGTATCTAAAAATTAAAGCTAAAAATGATACATTTATATATTAACTTTATAGTAAATATATTAAATAAATGCACAGCAGAATCTTCTCATTTGCAAAAGTATGACGCAGTGATGATATCACTTTAAAAGTTGTACATAATGTTTATGATATGCTAGAGTTTTTACAATGTCGTGATTCATGAGTTGGGTTCGTATTCGTGTGGTGCGATTGGTCGAAATGGGTCAGACTAAAAACCTGAGAGGAGTATGGATATAGTGTGTAAGCACGAGTTAATAAGGGTTTTGAGAGTTCTAGGTTAGATTGTGTAGTTGATTCTAAGAGCGTTAGCATTGTAGGTCGTCAGATAGTTCTCTTTGTGACTCTACCATCATAAATTTATGGTCCTAGTGGACACTACCATCATACATTTATGGTCCTATTGGACACTACCATCATGAATTTATGGTCCTAGTGGACACTACCATCATAAATTAACGGTCCTAGTGGACACTACCATCATGAATGTATGGTCCTAGTGGACAACACCATCATGAATTTATGGTCCTATTGGACACTACCATCATAAATTTATGTTCCTAGTGGACACTACCATCATAAATTTATGGTCCTAGTGGACACTACCATCATAAATTTATGGTCCTAGTGGACACTACAATCATAAATTTATGGTCCTAGTGGACACTACCATCATAAATTTATGGTCTCTGTGGACGCTACCATGATGAGTTTATGGTCCTAGTGGACACTACCATCATAAATTTATGGTCCTAGTGGACACTACCATCATAAATTTATGGTCTCCGTGGACGCTACCATGATGAGTTTATGGTCATTGTGGAAGCGTAAACCACGACACGCCCTTCGTGGGAAAGGCAACTATATTGTCTGATTCACCTGTAACGGCCCGGAGGAGATTTTGGCAACAGAGAATATTCAAGATAGATGGGCCATGACATTTACTCTTTCGTAAAATAATTCTTGACTAGCGAAAGTTTGAAACACGACTCAACCTAATAAATTTAATTTTAAAAACTATAATAAATTAAATTATATCCTTGAATGATACTGAGGATTATCAAAACAATAATTTGTCTCAAAGATAATTTAAAAAAATGTAATTTTGTAAAAAAAAAAAAAAAAAAAAAAAAAAAAAAAAAAAAAAAAAAAAAAAAAAAAAAAAAAAAAAAAAAAATTTTAAATATTAAAAAAAAANATTTAAATATTTGAATACCCAATTTACTTTCATTGAGGACATTTTCAAATGACGTAAAAAAAAAAAAAAAAAAGGTGAACACGCCATGAAGATTATGCTCTGTTAATTTAATCAAATATAACAAACGAAATAATTTTTATAACGTTTATTTCACACATGCTTCCATGGTTATTTACTTTGCATGTGTAAGTAAATTAATCATATACACATTAATTATTTTTGTAATACAAATAACAATTTAAGTACAGTTTTAGCCTAAAGTAACAGCACTGGAACTTCCGCATCTTGAAGGCATATGTGCATCTGTCAACGGTGCATCGCATCAGTCGTCAAGGGTTCCAAGGTGTGAACAGGATTATATGTTGGATAGTATTTCTTCCACTTTGGGATCTTGGCGGAGGAATTACACATTAATAGTTAACCATCATTTTCGTTGGTAAGTAAATGATTACGTGATAATGAAAAGGGATCGCTTTTAAATAAAGGGGGCAGAACAACTTCAAAAGAAATTTAATGAGACGGCACCAAGCAACAAAGTTAGGCTGTCTATTGTTACGAAATTTCACAGTTATTAAAGTGTATTGCGTCTATTAAAGGAAGAGAAAGTCTGACACTACAAATACTTTTTTCAATTATTGGAATCCTCGAACGTCTTCTCCAGAAGGTGCTGCGTTGATCCCTTTGAAGTATACGAGGAACATTCTGCAAGCTAAAAAACAGACATATGTCTATTCATATGAGCTGAATTGCACCTAAAACAGGTTGGAGAATGCTTGGCGGATGCCTGATATGCGAAACGGGAAAATATATTGTGGAAATTTATGGCTGTGGTGAACGAGGACCCAGATTTTTATAGGAATGAGTGGTTCTCCGAAAAAAAAAATGAAATTAATTGATATGTCAAAAAGTACCTTGTGAGAACCGTGTTGATTGGTAGCTTTTAGTTATATTTCTCTTGGAATTGTTATTCCAACTTTTTTTAAAAACACGGTCAGCCGTTACATACACTAACGTATTAGCAAAACTATTTCTCAATTATGAATACTTCTTCCTTCTTGGACAGATTTTTTAAAATAAAAAGGGTACATTATAAATTTAGATATTTTTCTTATTATAAAGACACAAGAAAAAGTAAAACTAAAACTAGCAAGGGTAACATATTTTTCCTCATTCAAATATTAGCTTAATTAAGATTCTAGATTAGTTAATTTGCTGCTACTGAGCATCTTAGATGTCATTCATTAAAAAAAAAGATCCTTCGGGATAATTTTATTTTTAAAATTTTAGGTCAAAATTAAAGAGTTTATGAATGAAAAAAGGCAAATCGTCACAAAAATAGAATTATATTTAAATAAAGTTAGAACGTTTTCTGATATAAGATGAAGTTGTAGCTGATGGATTCGTGTAGAGGAGGCAATGATTTATTATCCACATGGAAGGGATGCAATTTTCATAGTAGAAGTTTGTCAGTTTCTCAGTTGTAATTAGACTTTGCTTACCAGCAGTTTTTCTATGCTCCCTCATAAATTAATTAAACAACCATGATGAAAATTGTGTTGTTTTTTCAATTAACATTTAATTAGCTAGGATATATATTTATCCTTTACATCTATTGACTTCTCTAGGATATTTACCCCAAATATTGAAAAATGTTGAAACATTTCATTTCTTAAACATAGTGTTACATGCTTTCACAAAGACAACATCAATTAAAGCTGTGTTGTTTAATAATAATTTACAGAAGGACCTTTTGTAATTGAATTCTGGATTGGAATATCAAAAATGGTACATAACTTCACAAACACTATAAAAGGCAACACAAAATATTTGATACATTCTGGTATAAGGTAAATGATAAATGTGTATAAATATAAAAAAAAAGATTAATGAAAGAGACCAAAGCCAATTTTTGAACAAAGGGCTTCTTTAAAACATTTAAGGTCTTTTAACTAATTGTATTCAATAATTAACCGAATTAAATTAAAAAAATAAAAGATACAGAAAAATCTTTTGAAAAAAAAAAAATTGAGTATAATATATTTTACACAGATACACGAAACGCTGATTGATATTTCCTAAAATATTTTTTTTTTAAGTTGACAATCTTTGCAGAATAAGAGAATTGAATATTGTTGATTTGGAAATACTACGATTTACGTGCCATCATTAATGTTCAGTCAGAGAATTACTTTGAGATATGTTTTATTTACAACATATTGATTTAACTTTTGTTACTTTCATCACTTAAAACTTTGCATTGGCGTATTCTGTGCCTTCATTCCCAACATTTCCTGATTTGTCTTTGCCGTCATCATTTGAACGGACTGAGAGCTTGGCATCATTGAAGTTGGAGTAGATGCTGTTTGTTTCGTTATATCTATGGAGAACTTGGTAAAGAACTTTGTATTGCTCCTGTGTAGCCAAAGAAAAGTGAAACTCTGTGAGATTATGAGAACTTTCACAATTTTTTTAAATAACCATATTTTTTTAAATAAAAACAACAGAAATAAATAATAGGTAATTCTTCTATTTGTTAAGATTTGATAAAACGTGACTATAATTTAATGAATATTGACACAAATATAAAACTAATTCTAAATATCCTTAAACAAAATATTAGACAAAATTAGTAGTGTCATTAAAAATGTGAAATTTTCCTTTAAAAGCATGGCAAAATGTTGCATCTCTGGAATACTTTCATTAAACGATAATCAATCTCAGTGAGAACATTTAAAATTTAAAAAATAATAAAATGAAAATTAAAATTTTCACAATCATCTATAAATCTTTATCATTTTTATAGCCATATAAATGCATACAATTATTTTCTATAAATAGAAATTCAAAACCTTCATATATTTGAATTTGTAGTTTTCGAGAAACTCTCAGAAAGTTAAAAATGTAATTGTTAAAAAACTAATATAAATATTTCCATTAAAAAATAGGATCTTTTTAAGGCTTTTTCCAACTTCCTGAAAGAATATCTTTAGTATGCGTCTCTAAATGATGATTAATGTCATTCCCACTACATACACCTAAATATATTCGTAATGAAATTATTTTTATCTTACAAAAACTAATACAAATATATCGAAATTTCAAGAAATATTTTTTAAAGTTCTTAAACATTACTGACTTGAATTCGAGAACATTTTCAGAAAGGCTTATCAATTTATAGAATTATGTGGACATAAGCAGATGGTTCAAGGAACTCATACGATCATCTCAAACTTTCTAGAAACTTCCAAAGATTATCTTAAACCTTCCAGAACTTTGCTAATATTGCGCTACCTACCTATTCCCTACACCAGTTGGTACACATTAAAAACAAACATCTAAGTACCGCTCATCTACACATCTGCACAGCCTTTCTTTGAGTTCATAGAGTGCTCATCTACACTTCTGCACAGTTTTACTTTGCATAATGCATTTAAGAAATTTACATTTTTTTCCCTACTTTTTAGTGTGTTTAAACTCGCCTTTGGTGGAATTTCAATTAATTAATATTTCATTAAGTTTTTAAATTTCTTTTTTTACATATTTACCAAGTCCTCGATAACTCTAAATGGTCTTAACTTTAAATATTATTTATGCTGAGATCTTTAAGTAATTACCACTGTTGGGATAACCTCAGGACGAATGGTCTTGATAGCACCAACGACAAGTGGAACAGTTAAGCGCTGGTCATTGTCCATTCTGTCAAGTAGGAGGTTCAAGACACAGGCCAAACCACTAAATGTTGCACCATTCCTGTAAAATAGAAATATTTAACTATTTATATCATCATTTTAATTAGAAAAGGACTAGATGTGGATACAAATAGGATTTGTACATTAATTTAAAGAAATGAAGTCTAATAAATAATTTTTTTTTAAAGTTACTCATGACATTGTTTTTCTTCAAAATGAAAAACTTAAGTAAACCAACCTGCACATGTACAATATTCTGGCATCCTGTTTAGGGTTATATGTTCTTGCATGCTTGAGAAATGCCAACAATTCCTTTGGATCTGTGGAATTTTGTGTATATCTGAGGTGAACGACGCTGTGTTCCGCTGCTTCCTTAAAATACATTTTCAGTTAGAGAAATCTCAAATAAAGAGACATTAATTTTGTGAAATTGCGTGAAATAACTTTAAACCTTGTTTTATATTATAAGATGTCTATCCTCCATATCAACTTACGATTTTTTAAAAATGGTAGACATGACCCAAGGTTATATTTTGTGCACGTCCTTCGCACGCGAAGATGACCACTGCACTGTTCAAATTAAATAGTAAACTTGACTTGAGATGTATTTTTATTAAAGTGAGGGACAGTTGCTCAATTCTTCAGCCTTCCTCTATCGTCATTGCCTATATGATCCAATGGCAAGACTTAGACAAGACAACTGCAAATGGACCAGGATGCATCAGTGAATTTTGTGTGTTTCACTGTACTCTTTACACAGGTTAGACCACTCGGCCACCCGACATATCAAGAACAAAGGCCGTGCAAAATTGTGCGAACGTGGAACATGGAGGGTGCCAAAATCGCATTTTAAAAAATGAAAATTATAATTTGTATTAACACGTCTAATAATTTAAAAAAGACGCAATAATTCCGAGTTTCCCTGGTGGTCAGTTTTTGTTTTTCACGGTTGTTTGCAACATTTGTGACCTTGCTGGTGTTTGTGTTGTGTCACTTCTATAATAAAGGGTATCTTTACATATAGTTATGTCAGGACGAATCATTGATATATATTTTAAAATGCTTTTTACTTACATTTGTTCCGGTTACAAATAAGTTTCTCTCTTCCCAGTGAGATCCTTGATGCCATGTTCCCATACTAACTTGAAACGGAGGGAAGCTGGATTTTTCTGTTTCACTGGCTGGCAAATATTTACCTATTGTCTGAATTTCCATAGAAAAATCAGGATATAATTAGCAGCATTCATATCTTATTGTGATAGGCCCTATTTGAGACCACTTAAAGAACTTTTGTCATAAAAAATGCTAGACGAGTATCATTGATACATTTGACAGAATTTGTTACATTTCTATAATTTAGTAGAATAAGACATCATATCATACAATTAAACTTTTAATGGATATCTACAATTGAAATGAAACAGATCATTAGACAAACTGAAGACAAAGGGTATACGCAATGAACATTAAATGAATAGTATTTTAAGAAACAAATTACTGAATCCGTGGCTTGTAAATGCTCCTCAAATGCAAAAACCAGGGAAACTTTCATTTGAGTAATGAGACGCCAGAAGTCCACCACTGTTGTTGGGAGTGGAAGTTGGGTGATGATATCTTGATTCCTTTTTCTGAAACTCTGAAAAAAAAAGGAAATATTATTCAAACATGTACAATAAAGGCCATGGAAAAAGTAATTTTTTATATACACAGAGCTTCGGGGAATCAAAATTGTTATGTTTTAATGCTAAATTTGGAAGTAAATTAATGCATAAATGAAATTCAGTCAGAGCTACCGAGTAAGCTAATGGCAAAATAAAGATCGAAAAGAGAATATTCGTTTAACTATTATGCACATGTTTGTTGTGTAATTTTCTGATCTACTTACATAACATTGAACAAATAAGTATTATTTACCGGTGTTAATACAGCGTTAAAGTAGCCCCCCATGTCTTTGGAGTCACACATAAGTACAGGTCTGTATAGTTCCTCTATTTGAAAATACATTATGCGAAATTAAAACACATTAAAAAAAAAAAGAACTCGCTGCAATATTTTTAAACAAATTTGATTTACTTTTCCAGCTTTTGTTAAATCTTGTCACAACATTGAAAAATTGTTTTTGAGCGATGCACGCATCTAAACATTGCTGGTGGTTCTTTTTGGATTATTTAATTAAGACTATAATCGTACTTGGCAGGATATTTCCAAATCTGTTTTTCAGTTTATTTGAAGCAGTTCGACTGTTTTGGTACATGACGCCAGCTGATCCTTCTTCATCAGTTATTTGGCTATCATCTACACTCACTCTGCACACAGCCTATACATCATGCAACCAGTAAAAATTATAGAAAATTATATATTTAATTATTATTATTTATCTTTAATAACTTTAAGAACGTTTACGAGCGTGCTTGCTAGAGTGATATCGAGTTATATATTCACTCTTTTATTTATTAGTGTCATTATTAAAGGGATGTCTTACGGCATATCATAGCTGTTTTTTTTTTGTTTTTTTGCAATTCCTTAATACTATAAAATATCGTAGTATGTTTTAACTATTGTTCCAGGTTAAAGTCTTAAAATAGAGGACGGGAAAGGATGATGCACAATGTATTTTAAACACAATGGCATGTATGAAGAATCTTATCTGTATGGCATCTTTCCGTCTGCGGGAGACGATAGATTATCTTTATTTCTTGCAGCTCTTGGTGTGGCTGGTGAGACCAATCCTCGAATAGCAGTCTCTGTTACATTTCCCACACACGAATGCGGTGGAGCAGTATTTACCGGCCTTCCTCCTCGCTCTTTTTGCAGCTTTTTCCACCCTGTTTTGATCCTCGGCATGTAGTGATCCTGCCTTCACGATGCCCCGCCATGAGGATCGATCCTCTGCCACCTCCTCCCAGTTTGAGATATCGATGTTGGCCGACTTCATGTCTCTTTTGCATTTGTCTAAGTATCTCAGACGAGGCCGTCCAACTGACCTTTTCCCTGTCGCCAGCTCTCTGTATAGCACGCCTTTTGGTATGCGACCAGGTTTCATTCGCTTGATGTGTCCAAGCCAACGGAGGCGTCTTTGGATTAACATGGCTGGGACGCTACACAAGTTTGTTTGGGACAGGACATCAGTGTTGGGGACTTTGCTTTCCATTTAATGTCAAAGATGTGATGCAGGCATCTGAGGTGGAAGCCATTGAGCCTTCTTTCTTGTTTAGAGTATGTGGTCCACGACTCGCATCCATACAGGAGTGTGCTCAGTACGCAGGCCTGATACACCTGCAGCTTAGTTCTTGTTGTGAGTTTGGCGTTTCACCAGACTCTTTTCTTCAGTCTGGCAATAACAGTTGCGGACTTCCCTATCCTTCCACTTATCTCATCCTCCATTGAGAGGGTCCTCGATATGAGGATCCCAGATATGTGAATCTGTCAACAGTATCCAAGTCGTAGTCGTCGATAGTTGGGAGGGAGTCAGTGCCCTGTGCCATAATGTTAGTTTTCTTAAGGCTAATTGCAGACCAAACTCTTTGCAGGCAGCGGATAGGCTGGATACGAGGCTCTGCAGGCCGTCTGCTGTGTGAGATACCAAAGCGGCATCGTCCGCAAACAAGAACTTCCGCAGCAAGACCTTTCTTATTTTAGTCTTAGCTCTAAGGCGGGCAAAGTTGAATAATCTGCCGTCATCTCCTGTGTGGATGTATATCCCCTCGCTTTACTCCACTACTCACTGGAAAAGCTTCTGAGGCGGCACCGTTATAGCACACTGTGCCCTGCATGTTTTCGTGGAACTGCTTGATGATGTTAAGCAGTCTTGTAGGGCAGCCTATCTTTTTGAGGATCTGAAACAGGCCGCTTTTGCTGACAAGATCAAAAGCATTAGTGAGGTCGACAAACACAATGTATAAAGGCATATGTTGCTCCTTGCATTTCTCCTGCAGTTGGCGCAGAGAGAATATCATGTCTATGGTTGACCTACCGGCACGAAAACCACATTGCGATTATGGGGGTACACGCGATGCTAGGGCCTGTAGGCGTGTTAATGCAACTCGGGCGAAAGCCTTTCCAACTATGCTGAGGAGGGAGATTCCACGATAGTTGTTGCAGTCACTCTTGTCTTCTTTTATTTTGTACAATGTAACGATGTTTGCATCTTTTAACTCTTGTGGTAGCTGTCCCTGTTCCCAGCACAGAGTAAGGAGATCGTGCAAGGGCCGTAATAGTACTTCTTTTCCACATTTGAGAGCTTCTGGTGAGATACTATCATTGCCCGGGGCTTTCCCACTGGCGAGACAATCGATGGCTCTACGTAGCTCTTCTATTGTGGGTAGGGTATCAAGCTCCTCCATAACCGACAAGTCTGGGATATCGTCTAGGGCAGCGGTTGAGACTTGGTTTATCGTTGCGTATATTTCAAAGTAGTGCTCTATCCACCGCTTAAGTTATTTATCATTATCAGTAATGATTTCCCCTGATTTGGACATTAAGGGCGCAGTCTTGGAGATCAGAGGGCCTGTTGCTTGCTTTATATTCTCGTACATTTACTTTGCATCACCTCTATCAGCAGCTGATTGTATGCTGGAGCTTAGATTGATCCAGTATGTGTTAGCGTTGTGACGAGCTGCCTGCTGGGCATTTGTCTTGGCACTTTTAAGCGATTGTGGAGTTGCTGGGCAAGCTCAGTCTTTATAAGCTAAGAGGGCCTTTCTTTTTGCATCGGTAACATATTTCATTTCCTGCCAATAGGCTTTGAACCAATCTGCACTTTTCAGTTCTCTCTTTCCAAATGCCGTGATAGCCGAGTTATAGATAGTGTCCCGCAAATGTGACCATTTGGACTCAATAGTGTCCATTGGTGGCGTTTGTACAAGAGCTTCTTGTAGACTATGGATGTATAATTCTGTTCTCTCTGGGTTTTTGGTGGAGCAGATGTTTTTGCGTGGTTTACTCTTGTTTTTGGTGTGATAGTTTCTTTGGCTGTAGCCTTATCTTGCTAGCCACGAAGGAATGATCAGTGTCGCAGTCTGCGTTGTGGTAGATGCATGTGAGGAGGACACAAGCCAGCTATGGGCGTCTTGTGATTATGAGATCTAACATGTGCCAGTGTTTAGAGCGGGGATGCCTCCATGACACTTGGTGGATAGCCTTACAGTTGAAGTAGGTGTTAGTTACACATAGTTCATGTAGGCAGCACAGTTCCAATAGTCTCTGCCCATTTTCATTCAGTCTGCCTCTTCCGAAATGATTAAGGATTGTTGGCCAGGTCATGTGATCGCTTCCTACTCTTGCATTGAATTCACCCAAAAGGTAAATTGCTTCGTTGTTGGGTATGCTGGCTATTGTTTGATTAAGATCTTCGTAGAACTGGTGTTTGGCTTCTGAGCTGAAGGAAAGGGTTGGGGCATAAGCACTGAGGATGTTTACTAAACCTAAAGATTTTGATAGTCGGATAGTTAGTATTCTATTTGTGCCATGTGTCGGTGTTTCTATGGAGGAACAGAGTGTATTTTTTATAGCAAAACCAATCCCATGTTGTCTTGGTGCGTCCATCGGTCCACCCTGCCAGAAGAACGTGTAGTTGTGTTCTCTTATGGTACCCAATTCGGGGAGCCTAGTTTCCTGGAGACAGGAAATATCAATGTTTAGCCTGCTAAGCTCTCTATCAATGATAGCTGTCTTCCTTGCATCTTTTATGAGCTGCAGGTCGGCAGTAATGCGCTGGCACATTGTCCTCACTTCCAGCTTGCTAATCGAAAAGCTGGGGTCTTCTTTTATTTTGTTTTCTTACTTCTAGGTGCATGTTTTTGTGGCCTACTTGTTGAGATGTTCCTCTGAGCTCCACGCACCCAGTGAGACATGGCGATCTCTTCCATCGTCAGAAGCAACCCCTGGCGCCTAGCTCTACGCCAATTGAGCTATGGCTTAAAACCAGTAACTTCTGCCTCCCGTGTTGTGTTCACACCATTTGGCGATGTTGGAGAGTCCTCTCCAGTGAAGATAAAGCCTGGGCGAAGTATGGAGGATCAGCTGCTGCCCAGACAGCAGAACACCCCTCTCCACGCCAGTGGTGGACCCAAGGGATCAACTAGTGTCGATACGGCTTGGCACCATTGGCGTCGTAGGAGCTGCTGGAATGCAATTGGTTTCAAAAACAGACCGTCTTAGGAGCTCCACTTCCTGATTTTCTGTCGGGGTTTACTCCCTTAGCCTTTCCGTGTGGGTATAGCCGCAAGTCTTGTAAAAACATTCAAAATATATTGCACTTATTTTTAACATATTTAAAATTTTTTTACAATTTCAAAATAGGCTTGATCATAATGCATGATGAAAATATGTAAAAATCAAACTAAACGATAAAAGACCCAGTGCTAAGCAATGAACAAACTTTATTTACATCATAATGGGTCGCTGAAACTGAAATTCGACATCAAATGAGTAATCCATGATCAACTTACTTCAAATTCTATTTCCATTTCAGTTTTTCCAGACACAGATCTCCTTTGTAACATTTGAACCCTGTCTGCAATATTATTGGATGTTACAGTTGTATTTATACAGGTCATGGCAACCTTGGCCGCCTCGTGCAAGAAGGCATATTGTTCCTAAAAATAAAAGCATATCCATAAAAAAACATTTATTTTAAATATGTGAGTGTAAAATGTTGATTAATAATTATGCTTAGAAAATATTATGCATTTGTATGCCGTATTAAAGGATTAATTAAGATCTCCATTACGTTGACAATTGCTAAAAAAAAAAAAAATTAAACTTAGGGGGGGGGGGTGGTAATATGGGGGCAATCGTCTGTCTGGGGGGGATTGCGCAGGATAAAATCACTAGACTTGAGATTTTCAAAGAAAATAAGTTGATTCCTTAGTCAGTCTCTTCACACATCTGGTATACATATGGGAACATCAAGTGGATCATACAGCTTGTTACCAGAAGTTTTAGGAATTACCATTAAGTCACTGTCATGCTGCACACAGGACTCCATATCCGGGTTTTAATAAAGAGATTTGATTCTCTTTGATAAGTTACCGTTCAAAGTTGAAGAATTCCGCCCACACGGTATGCTGATGTTGCGTTTTCTTGTCTGATATTCACTTTGGATTTAACTCCAATCCACAACTTTCATCAGAACCGTACAAAATTAAATTGAACATAAAATTCGTACAATATAAATTTAAATTTTGAAAAAAACATTAATTTTACAACACTCAAAATCATTCTCATTTCTACCGCCTTTCCCCATTTTTATGACTTTCATCAATTTATTACAAACTAATAATGCGCCTTCCTGTGCGGGGGGGGGGGGGGGGGGGGGGGGGGGGTAAGGGGGGGGGGGGTTAAAGGGAGCGCTAAACTTATCCTAATCCTTTACTGCTAAATACATACAAATCTCTTTTGATTGTAGTATTGTAATGTATTATGATTATGACCATTTTTGTTCAATAAAGGCATTCTCGGTGGGCTAAGAGTAAGTGTTCAGATCTGTGACTGCCGATATAATTGCAATGTATGTCGAATTTATGTGTGTTTAAATTTCTCCGCAAACAGACAGTAGATGTGTTAATTGAAACATATTTATTTAAGAACAGTAGTGTATGTATTAATAAGACACGAACAAATTGTGTCAATACAACAATATAAGTAACACTTTAATAATAATTGTACATTATACACAAGTAAACGTTTCGGCACATGACTTCATCAGTACAAACAAAAAAAAAACATTTAAGTAATGTATATGTCTATAGTCTGATAGAGTGCCAAAGGTTAAATTGAAGAAAACAAGTGGATTCACCGATGCTTTTTTTGAATAACTTCATTTAAATTTGAAAAAAAAAAATAAATAAACAAATGATAATAAAACAAAGTAATAAAATATTAGCTTCAAAACACTTGACGGGTCATTATTTTAAACAAATAAATATAACGAAGCTCTGTACACAAATGCAATAGCAATGTTATAAAAAAAATTAAAAAATTAAAGAAAAGATGCATTCTTGAATGAAATGTGTTCAAAATAGTATTTATTTATTTTTTATTATTTTTTTTTTTTTTTGTTTCTTGTCATTTTTTTACATTTTTCAGATTTTCTTTCTGCCTCTGCTGCCTCCAACTTTTAAATACAGAGTAGCGGTTCAAGGGATTCAATCGTGACAATTTAATTGTCATTGCTGAACTACGTAAAAAAAAAAAAAAAAAAAAAAAAATAAAAAAAAAAAAAAAAAAAATGTTATAAAAAAAATTAAAAAATTAAAGAAAAAATGAATTATTGAATGAAATGTGTTCAAAATAGTATTTATTTATTTTTTATTATTTTTTTTTTTTTTGTTTCTTGTCATTTTGTTACATTTTTCAGATTTTCTTTCTGCCTCTGCTGCCTCCAACTTTTAAATACAGAGTAGCGGTTCAAGGGATTCAATCGTGACAATTTAATTGTCATTGCTGAACTACGTAAGGAACATTACATTAAGAGTATTTCCCCTTAGTTTTAAAATGATAGGGGCTCTCTAAGCAAGAATCACAGTGGTAAGATAACTCCCTAGGGACCACATTAGAATGACAATATTTAGGGACCACATTAGTAAGACAATATTTAGGGACCACATTAGTAAGACAATATTTAATTATTAGGCATATTATTTAATTTCAAGTTTTTTTAATTGTCCGAATATTTAATTTGCAGTATTTTAAAAAAAAAAGTTAATGTGATACTTAATTTAAATTATTGATGATAAAAAAAGTATTAGGTTTATAATAAAAAGAACAATATAATTGATCCAGGAAGCAGAAATGGATGCACATGATCGTATGTGTAATGCAACAACGATACATTAAGGTAACTCACAGCTGTCTGTATCATCATGGTCCTGTCCTGCCTGAGTTTGGCCACAGTAGTGAAAAAATCCATCTGTTGTGTATCCTCAGCTTCTCTCATTACGTTACGTAGAGCTATGAATGTTCCTGTACGCCCAACACCAGCACTGAAATAATCAGAAATTGCTGTATAAAAATAGCATGCCATTTATGTTTGAAAATATTTCTAGAAACAATTGTTTGAATCAAGTGAATTCAGACAAAACTTATTTTTAAATAGCACTAAATGATGGGCTCCATCATAACACGCGTGTACTTAAGTTACTGCAAAATGTCACGTGACAAATGGTTAGCAAGGTTAATCCCTTTTTATTAGTAACAACAATTATATTTATTTTAAATCAACAAAATGCAATTCCTTCGTGAACATAGCAACATATCTGAAAGAAAGAAGAATGCTTCACAATTTAAATATTCTGTCTTATTGATATTAAAATTAAATAGAGTTTTTACTTTAAATCTTTAGATAAATAAACTATAAGAAGAGCAACATTGTTTTATCCAATATTCTTTCATTCGTTTAGGTATTAGTACTTACAAAAATGTATGGCTCCGAAAATGTTATATATGTATCGGTATATTAATAGGAATAATTTATATTAAACTACCTGCAGTGAACAACAATGGGCCTTTTAGTTGGAGTAAATGCAACTCTTTGTTCAAAGTCCACTAGAGCCCAGGGGTTTTCTGGTACACCCTTGTCTGGCCAGGATGTGAAGTGAAACTGGGTCACTGGGTGCATGGGTTGGGAGTCCTGGATTGGTGAATTGATTTGTTATTTTAGTTTTATATCATGTTTATGTATATTTTGAAAACAAAAAATTGTTACATTACACTGACTACTCCAATAGTTATCACTAGATATAGTGGTATTGTTTTAATTATCTTTTTTTTGCAGGTTATAACATAAAATCATTAATAAAGTAGGAAATCGTATGTAGTCTGTAGTAGATAAATGCCTAAATTGGATTTGAAAACACAACCATATAAAAAATGAAATTTATAACTTGTCTTTTTAAAACAAAATCTGCTTATTCATTGAAATAATTTTTAAAAACATGAATTTAAAATTATTATTTTATTCAATCAAATCAAGATTAACGATGTGTGACGGTGAACATCATTGGTAATTTGCGAAGAGCCAACTAAAATAAATAATGGAAACATAAAACGTGTACGTACAACGTAAAGTTGAAGACGCCTTATAGTATAATCTGCAAAGACTTGTGTAGCAGCCAGTCTGACACGTATTTCTCCAAATGTCGTCTCACCTTCATCTGGCCAGTATGGGTCACACTTGGACTGGTTAAATAAAGTTAAGAGGCATTCATTAGGCTATTGAAAGATTGTAAAACATTACAAAAATTATATTTAAGTACAAAAAGGATACATTATTTTGAATGACAATGTTCATGTGAGCACGTTTTTAAAAAAAAGTGAATTTGTTATTGACTTACAGACTGATCACCCAAGGACTTATGAAAAGTTTGGGGGGGGGGGGGGCGCCCGCTGGTAGTCCTTGTAATGTTAAATACGTTATTTATTGTCATAGATCAAATATTGAGATACTAGTTTTGTTTCGGATAAAGTATTGTTTTGGTAAGTTAGTATGAAAAGGAAGTTAATTAGTTAGTGTATGTCATGCGCAGAGAAGCAAGTGAACGACTTTTAAAATGGCAGTCTGTGTATTTTCATTATAGGCTCTTGTCTATCAAAAAAATCTTCATGTTGACTAAACAGATCTGAGTGGAGGAAGTTAGATGACAAATACGTTTGCTTTATTTCCTAGAGATATTATTTCAAGCTGTGTGTATATATATTCAGTTAATAAATTTGTGTGATTCGAAATTCATGAAGTTCTAGCATCGTACTTTTAAGTAATCATGGACGTTTGTGAATGTGGATTATTAGATAATTAGATATTACATAAAATTAAACGACAGCCATAATTACAAGTAACAACGTTATTAGTACGCAAATGTTACATTTACTATAATATATTCGGTCCTATCTATAGTTTATTTTTTCGAGTTAACACAACGTTTACTCTTATAAGATAATATAATAATTTCTATTTGAACGGTCATATCGTATGACGTTCTGTTGGCTCTCAATATGGTCAACAAGCGGTTTGTTACAAAGTCCCCCTAGTAAAGCTTACACCATGTAAGCTCCCCTTTTTGAAATCCGTTGACTTACACCGAAATCATGTAAGAATTCAACTCATAAACCCTCTGCAAAAGTCATAGTCACGTGGTGTTGTTCTGGCGCTGAAACAGCAATATTTTGTTTCTTTCTACTGTGTAAATTACAAACTGTGTAACACATTCATTTCGAATATACTTTCCTGGAATTTTTAAGCCTCTCCTGAAACATGTCCCACTTTACTCTGGCTCACTTTTTCTCGATTTCCATCATATATTTTATAGTTAAAGAATTTTCTATGACCTTAGCGATTTAATGGCATTTTTATAAATAAGAAATGACATTTTTAAAAAAGAAACTCACCTTTCCTTCTTCCGTAAGATTAGTCAACATGACAACTTTTTCAACTTTTTGTTCCGATAACATTCGAACAAAGTCATTTAATATAATCTTGTTTGGTCCTTTTGAGATGAGATTAAAACAGTGTTTTTACTATTAAATCCAAAGTAATGCTGCATTTTTAATTATATTGTTGGTTTCATAAATTAATCTCTATGAAAGATATGTAGGTGTTTTATGATGAGGGTGGCCAAAGTTAACTGGTAGGCCTGTATTCTTTACTTACCTTGAGATGCGATAAACTTTTCCTCATCATTATATCCCTGCAAAATAACCAACGTTAATTTAGCAAAAAGAAGTTTACATAATTTTGATATCTTTAATGATTTAAAATAATCTGAATTGATAAAGTGGCACTTTTTTATAGTTAAAGTAGTCAAAAAATTAGTTACTATTAGAGATTACATCATGCTGTGGTCAATAGTTGTGTCAGCGTTCACAACACAACAGTTTTATTTAAACTCTAAGAAGAAGAAAGGGTTTATGATTGCTAACTTAAATAGAATCTTAACTTTTACAGGGAGAGTTAGATGGTACTAGAGACTTTCAGAATGAAAAATCTATTTTAATTGAACTTAAACTCTACAAAGACAAATTACACTACTGGATGAAAACCTGGGAAATAAGCAGTATGTCTAATAATATCAAAAGATAAGTTTTTGTCTTGTATTAAATAAAAGGAGCACACTACTTAAGCAGTGCTTGGAGAATAATGAATCTAAACATTAATCAAATAATACAATTCCAAAACTATTTCAAATAATACAGTAGCAAAATTCTTGGTGACAACTTAGCGCTGTCAGAAAGAGAAATATAAATTAACGAAAATATATCAGTCTTTGCTAGAAAACAAAAGCAAAAAGATAAGAGATATTCATTTCTCTATATTCCATATTTGAAATCATCTACACTGCGTTCAATTTTCGAAGCTAAATTACAAGAAAGGAACTTCACTGAATGCCCAGTTGACAGGACTTTGATCTTTTATTTATGATGACATGTCAATGTTGACCCAACCATCTCTTGCATGAGGTCATATGGATCGATTATTTTGTTTTGTGAATCATCTCAAATTCACGATCTAACAGCCATAAATTAAGCCTTCGTTTAAGTCAAGTACATTTTAAAAGAAAACGTGAGTGGAGAAATGACAATGGAAACTAATTATAAACGATGAAGCTAGTTCATGAAAATCTTATCCATATAGGGCTGTAACTTTCGTAAAATTAATTAATTTTGTGCTTTTCTAAGCATTTCAGTGCGAATTATTGCCTTTTAAAAATAATCAGTTGTTGATGGACTTGTCGTGGTGCGGATTACTTTACTATACAATTTATAAAAAAAAAAAACCCAACAGATTATTTATTATTTACTTTTGAGTATGACGCATTAATGTAATCTCCGTGCATTTTTGTTGTGTCAGCCTCCAAGTGGACCCTTGCATGGTCATCTGTGTTTAAAATACAATGATGATATATTTTACTTAACATATGTTTATTTTTTATTTTGATTTTAATAAAACATTATAGTAAAAGTTGCTTTAAACATGTCATATTTTGTTTGAAAATAGTTATACAATGTAGAGTTTGTATGTATTTTAGATATATTTGTTATTTTAATTATAAAATTGATAACGCATAATAAAGCACTCTACTATGTTACGGGCTATTTTCATTGTAAAAAAAAGCTTTATTAATTAAATACTTTATTTTGAGCAACTGTGTTAAAATCCGTGCAATATCTTCAATACAATCAAAGCTTTTGCTTGAAAGTTTACATGCAACAGAAGACTACTATTAAAACTGATGGATATAATACATGACATTGACTCATTTTCCTTTAAAAGTATTGAAATTAACGTCCATAAAATTTAAAAAATCAAATCATACATGGACAAATATTCTTGTATCGATTCTTGTATTTATTTTCAGCACTCAGACCCACCGTCATTGTAGCCTCTGTGTTGACTGGTAAACTCTGTAAAAGTTATTTAATAATGAACTGCAAACGATCTGCTAAGCGCTACTTTAGTAAACATGCAAACAAGCTGTTTTGGTTGTCAATTCTTGAAAAATGCACACTATTTAACAATATTAACTTTTAAAAAATTTTAAGGGGAGATCGGGCTAGGTGGTAGGTGATATGTGAAACAAGGTAGGGGACACCATGAAACATTGGATTGTTGCATCAATTTGTAACTGGGGCCCGAAACCATTCATTTTAGACAAAGCTTGGCTTTTTATGACCATTGTTATACATACATAAATTTAACGTTAAGAGTCAGTAATAAAATTGAAATTCTGATGTAAAGAAATTTTATTTATCATTGTTGTGGTGAACCAAAGATTTATTTATTTCCACAAGACTAAACTACAGAGAATTTCTATTAAAATTAACAAAATGTATTTTTTTTTAAAATGTAGTTTTGGAATCTTGCCTTCTTCTTAAACTATAGCATAAAAAAAATCTTTAGTCTGGAAGTCTTTGAACAGTAAAACATATGTAAAAAATACGAATGACCTAAGAAGAGGTTCAAGAAAAATGCGTGCATTTTATATACGTTATAGTAAATAATAAAATAATGAATAAATAATGGATAAAAGTAAAAAAAATGAATAGAAATATAATGCAACTGCATGAAATTACTGCTTCTTGTTTTTTAAACAATGAAAAGGAGAAACTTGGCAACAAAAATAAAGTTTGATTTACAACGAATTGCCCGAAAAAAATTTTTTAAAATAATCATAACAGTTACACTTTGTACTTCTTACTTTAAACTGTTCATGGAGATACTCTTTACTATGAGTTAGAAGGTAACTGTGAAGATTAGACAATGTGATAACAGTTGAAGCCGTGATAGGCTGTAGAGTCACCGTGTTATAATATCCATTGCCCTTTTCTTCACAAGTTGCTTCGTCTTTAATGCTTGATGGCTTAGGTTTTTGAGGAATGGTAGGTTTCACTGTAAAAATACAATCGAATTAGTATTTTCTCGTATTGTGCTGCATTAGGCTGATTGCTTTGTCAATTTAAAAAAGTAATATGCACTTGGAAGAAAGTCTTAAAAGATAAGTACACTTCTATTTAAGATTATCTTTGAAGTAAGCTCCTTCATGTAAAGCAAATAAGCTAAAATAAACTAATTGGATAGTATCGTACTAGTTAGCTTCTTAGTATGTTTGGAATGACGATATATACGAGATGTTCACACAGGTTTAAAAACCATTGGGCTATGCCGATTTATGCCAATAAATGGCTGAAAGATAACGATGCATTATTAGACATTTGAAGTTAATTAAAAAGAAAGTAGTTGTGTTAACAATCTTTAAAATCTATGTACTGCCTTTGTCAGGGTTCATGCACTTAAAATGTCACTATTAAGGCAAGGAAGACATAGAAGACTCCCTGCAAATATTAAAGAAAAAGAAACTCTACAAGTTAATAACCACCTTAATATAACAAAAGATTTTTTCAGTTTACTTGGTCCGACTGGCAAATAAATCAGAAATTCGTTTTATTCATACAAACAGATACATGCATTTAAGCTAAGTCTGGTTTTGATTTTTTCGCGAGAAAAGATTATCATTCCCTTACATATTTAAAAAATGTCATAATTGAATTTGAAACTCTGTAGATCAACGTAGAGATGTTCTAAAATGGTGTAGCAAACTTTATCACATACCTGTATGTTTACTTTTGATTTGTTCTTGCTTAGAAGTAGACGTCACATTACTCAGAGAATCAGCTTCAGCCAAATTTTCCATACTTGAAGTGTTCTCTCCTGGTGGCAATTTGTCAGATCTCCTATTTCGTCTGTCAGATATCCCCAAAGGAAGAAGTATAACATATTATCCTTTCTTACAATTGCTAAAATGGTTTACAATTTCATACGCATTTTAATGCTTCTTCACATTAGAGCTCTGACTATCTTACCAGCAAACAAGACGTACAAAAATCATTGGTCAAAATGAAAGTTTGATAGACTTTCAAGTTTAAGGTATAAAGTATCACCAATATTCACATGAATTAAGTCATTTGTTAACTGTGGTAATATTTATAACGTATAAACAATGTACGCTTGCTTTCTTGCAGCTTAGATTTTAATATAATCTCAAAGTTTGCTATCATATAACACAAATAAAAAGTGTAGTACAATCAATTTTTTTATAACATTGATGATCTTAGCCTGTTAGCTATTTTAATCTTGCTATTATTAATGTATTATCCTGATTAAAATGCAACATATTTGTATTGTAGTGTACGGTACCCGAAGCCATTATTTCATACAAAGCCTTATATTTATTCGTATACAATTGTCTGATGGTGAAATTCGATCTGTTAACACGCTTCCTACAAAGCTTATGAAATTTATATTCTTTATAAAACATATTAACACTATGTTTAAGTTCAAGGCATGTTTTGAAAGGCTTAAGATATGTTAAAAAGTACGATGAAAAAATTGTAGGGCGGAAAAGTAACAGTGGTATTATTAGGGAGAGAGAGTGAGACAGAGAGAGATAGATAGAGAGAGAGAGAGAATGAATGAATGACATAAACGGTCTATCTTCAATCTCATTTGAAGGCGAGAGTCTTGCTAAAATCCTTCTAAACCTTCTAATTGTTCATCTTAAGAAGAATCTATTTGCAGAAAGGCAATTCTTTTGCATATGGTGTTTGCTACCAAATAGCTACATGAAAGTGTCAGGAAACACAACGATGACTTCTTCTCCGCCTAAGTAGACCTAACTAAGGTTTTAGAAACTGTCATCAAAGAAGTGTTTGAGAGATCATGGGCAAATGAGGGTATGCAAGAAAGTGTTTGGAGAAATTGGAGAGATTTCTCAACCACTTCCTGTGAATAATGGTGTTAAACAAGCGCGCGTTCTGGTACAAACACCATCCAGCATCATGGTCTACTCCATGCTGACTGATGCTTTAAGAGGGACATCAGATAACGAAGTATTGTAAAATACTTAATCTCAGGAGACTACACACTAAATCCAAGGTACGGGCTGACATTATTAGAAGCTTTTCTGTATACAAATGTCCATGCCTTAAACGCTGAATCAGAGCTCGATGTGAAACGCACTGTTGCGAGATTCTCGAATGCCTGCACAAGCGTGGGTCTTAACATTAACAGAAAAAAGACTGATGTCCTGCATTCAACCATCTCCTCGAAAATATGATATCGGGGTTAACTTCCAATCAATGGCAAAAGGCTTTAAATTTCTCTCACTGCTTCTCTCACCTTGGCAGCACAATTTCCCATTGATGATGAGGTGAACATTTGAATTAATTGAAAGAGGCTGAAAACATTCGGAATTTTAAAAAAAAAGAAAGTCTAGGGCAGGCATCAGCACCCAAGTTAAATTTAAACAATCTTAATATTAAAACATTACAAGGCATCAGTTCTCCAAATGTTAAAATATGCAGGTGAAATATGAGAAGTCTATCAACGACATGCTAAGAAACTGAACCATGTTCATACAATGAACCTCCGAATAATAATACTCAACATTGAATTACAGGACACGGTCCCAGACAACTAGATACTTGCCAAGGAAGGCCTCACAAGAATATACGCCTTATTAATGTATAATGGACATGTTCCGAGAATTTCAAACGACCAAAAATAATATTTTATGACGAACTCATGCTTGGCAAGCGACTCGCTGTGGGTCCAAAAAAAAATACAAAACCGGAACTTCACAGTGAAAGCATCCTTGAAATTGTTTCACATTGACCCGGACACTTGGGAAAAGTTATCTTATCTCTTGGCGTTCCTCCCTACACACAGACTCATTGCGACATGAGGCGAACAGAAGAGCTGCTGCAGATCCCAAAATTCTACCCAGAAAAATCTGAGGTATTTCTGTCCCATGCATCTCCAGCACCTTCTGCACAAAAAAATATTTCGTGGCATAATCGATCTGATGAGTAATCTGCTCACCCACAGACAGAGTCAGGCCCATCACTAATTCGATGTTTAAAATGATGATTATCGATGAACGAACCAACAACTCAAATTTCTATTACATGTATGCCTTGATTACGTTCATATATAACTGCATGTTGCACACACATTAATAAAGCTTTTAATTATGAAGTAGCATGTTTGATTTTTCAAGAAGTATGAACAATTGAATTACTTTAAAATTCATACTGGAGATTTATTTCATAAAAAATGTGATGTGATGTTTTTTTCTGTGATCAGCCATTATTTCTCAGAGTTCTAAATTATAAGCATAAACTGCTATTTATTACCTTCTGTCGAAAAACTACAAAATTGTAAAAAAAAAATCAAATTCATAACCAACTTATTCCAGACACAAGATTAATGTAAATAAAATATCTGGCTCATCCGCCTTACCTCCACAAAATGAAGACACCACCGATGACCAGCAAAACAACAATAACACCACAAATGGAACCAACAACTGCTCCTATAGTTTTACCATCATCAGGGTTGCTGTTTGAAGAAGATTTCACTGTAAGAAATGAAAGGAAAGGCTATTAAGCGTTTTAAATAGTTTTGAGAGGAAAATATTGATAAATGAAAATAAAATAACACAGTTTATTAAAATAGTTCATTAACAAGTACTTTCGATACTATTCTCTACTTTTTCAATTAAAACATAAAGAGACCTTTCTTGAATATTACATTTATTGTACAAAGGTCTTTCAATGTAGAAAGAAAAAAAGGAATATGATATACTCCTTAAAATTTGAATATTTTGGGGGAATACTCAGAGTGAGATTATTATTATTAAGCGGATTTTATATGGTGCAGTAACCCAGCTTAGGGCTAGGCTCACTGCACTTCATAAAAAAATGAACAATTACATAAAAACAAACAATTAGTAAAAAACTTGACCTCACTCACCCAAGAACTAAAGAACAGTATAGTACAGTACGGTATATTACAGTTTAAAGAGAGGGTCTTAGGGAAGTTTTGAAGACTGTGATGGTCGTTATATTAACGTTGTTTAGACTTGTAAAATAGATAAGGTACCTAGCGTCGTAGATAAGGAATCACATAAGCTATAATTATGAAACTGAAAAAAGTACAATATTTTAAACACCTCCTCCCTCCTAAGTTTTTTTTTACATATTTAAGATTCATCCATGACTTAGATATTAATATTTTATTTACAAATTGGTGACTGTTACGCACTGGCTTCTAATATGAGAAATTAATCTCTCTTGTTAATTTTAATTGGCTGGTTGTTAACAGTGCCTAACGAAGGACGATACCATAGAGTCAACAATATTAAAGATACGACACCCAAAGCAGTTTCTAGTTACAATTAATACGATTTATTAAGTCTTAAGATAGTTACAAAAGAAAAGAAAATATAACAATCTTCAACTTACAGTATGGTGGATCTTGTACCGGTACACAGTTAACACAGAATAATGTGCCAATGAATAATGATAAATGTGAAATAAAAACATATGAACACACAAATACTCAAAGAATAATACACGCCTCGCAAAGTTAATAATATCTATCTGAATCCTGGTCTCTCCGTCCGTGCCTGTCAATCCCTTATATAGGTCGCGTAAGCCATGCCTCCCAGAAAGACTTATGACGAGTTGTTTACATTTCTCGGGTTATCGAACACATTTGAGAAAATACCAGGAAGAAAGTCTAACATGTTTAACTGACATTATCAATCTTATAATGAAAGCCTGGAAATTATCCTATCATTATCAATGTATCTTAATGTTGAAACACTAAAGTTAATAAATACTGTTTGCTACAATATATAGGTAGGCTATCTTCAAAATGTATGCCACGCTGACATATTCAAATTTATTGATCGTACACAAAGAGTGATGATAAGTTTCTGCTCTGCATGAACCCCCCCCCCCTTTCCCCCCCCCTTTCCTTAGTAGGTGTGCAGTACTGAGTAATATAAATGCCTAAATAGTTTTCGCAAATTTTACGATTTTCCCTTCATTTGAATATTTCAATTTATAAAAGCAAACAGACATAACAACATATCAAAACAGCGTAACATAATGTTTGCAGTTAATATGTATTTTAAACCATTGGCTCAAACTATACATAATACTTAAAAACTTACAAATGGTGCAGTTACTTCCTTCAAATCCACTGAGACAAACATTATAACAATGTCCATTGACACGGTTACAAATTCTATCGTCAGTAATCCTCCTGATACATTTGGAGCTACAGTTGTTTTTACAATTCTCACCGTACGTGTTGTTACTGCATTCTAGGAATGTTAAAAAAAAAAAAAGCAATTATAAAGTTTCTTTGTTATTACATAAGAGTAAAAGAATTAATATTTTTTTAAGTTTACAAGGAATGAATGAGTTCAATTTTACTATGAGCATATTTATAAATGTGTTTTATTCTGTTAACTTGATGAGGATGGCTCTTGACTACTGGGGGCATTTGGAGGCTAATTCCGACACACAGATGGCTTGGTCAACACTTGCAAATAAATTTCCATAACAATAAGCGCTTGGGAAAGCTGGGATATATTTAGGTGACGTGAGGGCATATTGTACATGTAGAAAAATTAACTGTAGATTTAAATTTATTAAATGTATATGTATTAAAAATAAACATGGTAATATTAAAAACATTGTAATTTTTTTTCTGTATATACGTCCTTGACTGCTGCACTTTAAACTATGGCCTACGTTCAACTTTTGGCTAATCCGGCGTTGCACTCAAAATTGCAAATAAAATGCTTATAACACTAATGCGTCTTAAAAAATTATTACATTAACTTTAAACAAATTAATGTTGGCAATGTTTTACTTTGTAGAATTACTGCAACACACTAGTTTAAACCCTAGGCTACACTATAACACGGACACACACACATAATTTAAAATTAGCGTGAAGCTTTGAGCTGAGTTCTACTTCTGTCTGGTCACTCATGCACGACGATGACCATTGCATGACCAACACTTGGCCCGTCATGTCGCTCGCTCTGCTATTCGAATGTGTGTGACCCCGATGAGGTTTGCAGGTTATGCTCAGGGATTGACCCCTGGCAGGTAGCTCTTGCACCACCCTCTTCTTTTCTGTGTTTCAAATAAATAAATGTAATAACTGCTATTTAGCATGCGTTTGCAAGTTTACCTTCATCACAGCGAGATCCATGGTAGCCAGCTTGACAACTTATACAGTTACCAGAGTTGAAATCACAGAATGAATCTTTACAGTTTGTTGGACAAGCTGCTGCACATTTGTTGCCATAGTAACCAGGAATACAAGCTGAACAGTCTCCATTAATGACGTCACAAATAGGACCAGATTGAGAACAATTTCTTGAACAGTTGGACTTGCATTCGGCTCCATAGAAACCAGGATCACAATCTGAAATTTAGAGATAGATTCCTTATACTGAAAAAAATGTCAACAAACTAATGGCTTCGATAAGACAATTTTTGTATGGCCTCTTTCCACTCACCTAGAAAACCCAAAGGAACACCAAGAATGGATATACGGCTTGGGACTATCTGCGTCACATAATTTGTGGGATTCTTCATTTTATTAATGTATCCGCCTAAGATGCTCCTTAGAGGGTTTTGAGTCAGAGTTTCCTTCACTTAGATGATGGATCTCATTCATCCGGGGTAGTGCTGACGTCTTTACGTGACTTGGTCCTTGGTGGGGATTGAGCTCCAGACCACAAGGGAGGGATTTTCTCACTTTAGACTACTCGACCACACAGCACGCAGATTAATATGAAACTTTCAAATTAACGTATTTCCAGTGTGTGTGTGCGTGTGTTTTGAAGAAGTATTAAGCTCCATAAAGTGTTTTTTCCCCACAAAAATATAAATGATTCAAAGATGTTTCTAAGCAATCTGATTAAATAAATAATTTTTATAATTTATTTAAAGAACTATATCTTTACATTACATGTATTTGTAAAGATGACGATATTCTGGCTTTTGTAAATAGGTAATTGCAGTCAAATATATCTATACCTTGTGTACAATATGGTAGCTTCTTTCCTTCTAACGCACAACTGTAACATTTGCCATCTACTCTTTCACATTGTTGACTGGAGCAATTATTACTGCATTTTTTTCTGCAATCGATACCAAAGTATCCAGCTTCACAAGCTAAAGAAAAATAATGATTTTTATTAAAATTGTTCTGTGACTTCCAATGAATACATTTTAATTATTCATACATGATACATATTTGATTATCTTAAAGTATCATTGTTTTATTTCCACCACAATTCATTCCTTTCGATACATTCCTCTTTCCACCCATGTTCATAAAAATGTACCACAATGTAATACAAGGAAGATGAGTTTTGTTATAAAATTACCCAATGTCTTAAAACTTAAATATTACTGGGCACATATTAAAAATCACCTTATCTGTTTAGACGGAATTTATTGAATGGTTCACAATGTTCTATATGTAAACGATTTTATTAGCAAATACATTTTAAAAGGATTATGATGTTTTGTAAGCATTTGTCATCCCAGGTTATAGGGCGGGAAAGGTTAGTTAGACAGAGAGAGAGAGAGAGAGAGAGAGAGAGAGAGAGAGAGAGAGAGAGAGAGAGAGAGAAACAGAGAGAGAGAGAGAGAGAGAGAGAGAGATGTAAAGTTGAGCTCTATTATGGGTGTGTACGTTATTCTGTTCATAAATTCACTTATTTATAGAGAGAGAGAGAGAGAGAGAGAGAGAGAGAGAGAGAGAGAGAGAGAGAGAGAGAGAGAGAGAGAGAGAAACAGAGAGAGAGAGACAGAGAGAGAGAGAGATGTAAAGTTGAGCTCTATTATGGGTTTGTACGTTATTCTGTTCATAAATTCACTTATTTATCAATTAGTCTACCTGGAAGAATTTGTTCCTCAGTCACTACTCGTTATTTCTTATCACACTTCTGTTATGCCAAAAAATGAAACTTATATTAATGTAATTATTAAATAGTAAACCAACGTAGGCTTCAGTTTCTCTTTGCAAGTACATTTTAAATCATAATATTAACATAATAATGATTGATATTTGATATGCTGAATTTGTGTTTGTTGTCCTTTTGTTTAAAGGAGTTAAAATAGATATAGTATTATTTATTTAACATACTTTTTTTGAGCTGTGTATCCATTAAACAAACCGACCTGTTGATATTCATTCTAAACAATGTTTAGGATAGTCTTGTTATTTAGACTAACCTAGTCATATTATATTTCTCTGTGCTATTCAGACATCCTTGCCCTAAACTTCCAATTTATTCAGACGCATCCTCGTTTTTGTGTGACTCATTCGGTTGAATGCACTTTGTCTTATTGCAATTAGAAATCAACTTCGTTGTCGTAAAAATATTTCGGATTGAAAATAAAATTAAGATTTAAAATGACCTACGTTTTGTGCATCCTTGTCCATAAAATCCAGCCTTACACCCAGATGGACAGTTTCCTGTACTAACAAAACACTTTTCACCTTCTACAGCACAGTTACATACATTTTCACAATCACGACCATACATGAAATTGTCTTTTGGACAGACTGAATCTGAAAATAAAATCAATGTCATTGGTTTATTTTGCTATAAATTTCAGATACAAATTATAATGGTACTGCAAAAGAAGTATGACCTTCTCGAGTAGCAAACATGTATTAATAATCATGTGTACTGGATATATGGTACTTTTGTTTACAAGAGACCAGGTTTATCAAAAGCGTCCACATTTAAGAAGCCGACTAAATCTTCTGGCAGCTGTAGGTAGAAATAATCAAAACCTATCTCATCAGTTACTGTTAAGATCCCCATGTTCCAGATGTTACCATATTAAAACTTCGCCATCAGCACCCTCCATTACTCTACCCGCTCATCCAATGTGAGAAAGAGAAGCTATACGGGGTCCTCCACTAGCAACGTTCAGTGTCTTTAACCCGAATCAAACTCAATATTAGGGGATCTTTTCGATGAAACGGAAGTGAACCAAAAAATAAATTAACCTGATTCAAATTGCAATGCATGGACAAGCCGGTGGTCAGAGACAACTCAATTTGTGTATCTCCAGAGACATAAGCGACCAACACATTTTTTCGGTCATGACCCCGTATTCACCCTATAGGCTTTGTCATTTCTAAGACCGGAAAACGTCTAGCGTTCTATTTTTAGAAGGTCCGCGGACAAATATTGCTTAAAACATGGCAGCTTATAGTGTGTTTCAGCATATCGTTCGCACGATCCTTGTATCTAGAGTTACTGTTACATCTGCCGTGCGCGCAATGAAGTCGCATTTGAGAAAACAGAAGTAAACAAAAAAAATGTGTAAAATATTTCGTAAAATAGAGTTGTAAACAAGTTTCAGGGACACTTCGCTAACATAGTAATACTTAACAGTGTTGACATTTTGTCCGCGCTGAGTACCCGGATGATCAGTAATGGTGACATCAGTTCTATTAATAGATTTCCGCCATTAAATGACAAGCCCTATTGACAAGCTGGTTTGTGAAATTCTTATATGCAGCAATACTGGATGTTACAGTGGCGTTCCTTGACTAAAGTGTCTGGTGCGTACACCCAGAATTATTACAGGCAAAACGCACAGACATTTATGTAATTTTAAGAAAACATCAATAACGCTGTTGCGGTGGGCTGCCCTATTCACACGGACTAGTTTCGTTTCTGGAATCTAACATTTGTGTCCGATATAACTGTTATCTGGGGGTAGGGTTCAGATCGTGACTGCCAATTTAACAATTTCTAAAAATCTTCCTAGCCTCCATAGCGCTGATTTGTAATGAGAGTCATATAGCCATACGGTTTTAAAATATTTATAGATTTTTCAACAACTGTTTTTATCTGCACAACAGTCCAAAGATAGAAAAAAAATCATTTGCGTTTCAGAATAAATATTCAAATTCTAAAAGGTATATAATGCAATTTCTGATATGTATGTAGGAATACAGTTAAAACTGTTTCAAAGAGCCATAACGGATCTGTAGACACAATCTACATAACAATATTTATTCTATTAAATGTTGGTAGTGTTTTTATATAAATTAATTGATGTATATCTGCCCCGTTTGCGTTTTTATACAATTCATCCGCTTTGTTGAGTTGCTGTCCGCATGCCTGCAAATTTTTCTGAATTTAGTACAACCATTTTCATATTACCCCGTTAGGGGCCGGGTGCCCTAAATTTGTTTTTTTCTTAAATGAGCTATATAAATATAATTCCAAAAAGAGCTCTTGAACTCACACACACACACAACACATACATACATATATACATATATACATACATATATACATACATATATACATACATACATGATACATACATACATACATACATACATACATACATACATACATACATACATACATTCATACATACATACATACATACATACATACATACATACATACATACATACATACATACATACATACATACATACATACATACATACATACGTACATACATACATACATACATACACACATACATACATACATACATACCCACATACATAAATACATACATACACACATACATATATACATACATGCATACTGTAACGGACTATGTTTTCACAAGAAAACAGAGAGGTAGCATGAGTGAACAGTGAATTGTGTTGACCATGTTTTTCCACGAGAGAGAGAGTGGATTGCATTTTTGAGAACAAATGTGAGCTCCACGTTTTTGGAGAGTAAAATTATGTTTTTGTCAGAACGGTTGTTTTCCACGCTTTGATGATAATAAAGTATGAGTTGACTGATATAGTCAGAGCTGAGCGCAGAGCAGTAGAGAGAGCTAGGAGAGCTGAGTTATGAGACAGTTGAGCTGAGTTATAGTAGTGTGAGGACGTGTCTTTCTGAATGATGGAATACTATAATATATACATGTGAAATTATTACATTCATGCAAGGATTATCATTAATATTATCAGTAAAGTGTGTTTAATAAAGTACTGTGAGTTTTAACCAGAATTGAGTATTCTTCTTTGCGTGCCTGGATAATAAGTGGAAGAATGAAGAAGTCTTAGTCGGCATCCTGAAGTATTAACATAAGTAACCATACTACTGACATAACCCACATCATAAGAAATAAGGTCCCACGCCATGTCAGAGTAGATGTGTTACACATGGTGTCAGAAGTGGTGAACAACTATGTGATACAACTAGATGTGTTACAAATGTCAGAACAACGATGTGTTACAGAATATTAACTCTTGAGTAACAACGATATATTTTAACATTCGAGCGGGAAAATACATAGAACGCCATACGGTTGAAAACTATTTAGGTCACAGACACAGGAGTCAAAAGTTCAGAGTTCAAATAGCTAACTGGTACACTGCTTCAATTATATAACACACTTAGCGGAGTGAATATTCTCGTGGAAGAAACAGCAAGAAATCTATTTTACAGTTATTAGTCAACGAAAGAGATGATCCACTACACAAGACCAACAGAAGTCTGACGTCATTACAGATGAGATGTTTTATCAAGACATCGAAAGTAAGATTTCCCCAGCATAATCTTTACTTTATATAAGCCGCACATAGCCTAAGTGCGCAATTAAAGTCAAGTTATTCTTCAAGTAATTCTTCAATTACTCACAAATTCAACAGAATCGGAGAGAAAGTAGACAATTTTCAATTATTGGATTATCACAATTACACTATTACGCAAGTTACTTGCATTGGATTATTGCAGCAATTTGTGGTGTAACTTTTCTCATTGGATTATTTTACCCAAGTACACTTCTACATAGAAGGATTATCTACTCCATAGAAGGATTATCTACTACATAGGATTATCGACTACACAGAAATCATAGCGTCACAGAGGAGCAGAGGTGACAATCTACAGATTTCTTTTGGACACTTTCACTTGGTATTTATTTATATTATGTGTTATGTATTATATATAATTTAAGACTTTAAAAATCTACTTATAGAATAATTAATTAGATTAAGTAAATTTTTTACTTTTTCTGTATATTATAAGTTTAATTTTAAAGTATACTTTAGGGATATCCACGGTGTTATCTTTCCTAGGGAAGTTTTTTTATTAAAGCAGTAAATGTTTCTTCTGGCCCTATTTATAACACTGTAGGATAATTTTATGTTAGTTGTGAAGTCTAGTTTGTACATTGTCCTAACTGTTGTTTTTTAGTAGATCTTGTCAGATTTGTTCTATTTGTCTTGTCATTGTTATACATATTGTAAAACCTACTGTCATACTTTCTACCATCTTGTTGTTCATTAACTGCACAGTACTTTTGTATTTGTTGTCTGATTCGTATTCATGTAAACGTCTACATATCTGTATTTATGTTATGAAGTAGAAAATTTAATTATTTTTTAAATTTTTCTTACATTTAATTAATTATTAACTTGCATTGTGTATTCATTCATGAACATGTAAATATAATGTAATATTGTGAACTATTTTAATTGATAACTCAATAAGAAATAACTGACATACTTATACATACCAATATATTATTTTAGTTACTCAAACACATACTAATTCAAAATGGCAGAGTACTTAGAACTATTAGATGTAGCTGAAAAGCTTGGCATAAAGCAGGAGAACTTAGCTGACTTCGTAACTCGAGAAATGGACAAAATACGGGACAAACAGGAGAGAGATAGTCAAAGACAGAAAGAAGACAAAGACAGAGAAGCTAGACTGTTAAAGAGAAGTGACCTTAAACAAATAGAAGAACTAAAATTAAAAGAACAAGAAATGAAATTAAAAGAACAGGATATGAAATTAAGAGAGGAAGAAATAAAACTAGAAAGAGCTAGAATAGAATCAGGACAGCATACACCATCAACAAGCAATAGAGAAACCAATAGCACATACAAACCTAAATTTAGGGAATTTAATGAACATAAAGAGGAAATTATTAGTTATCTGTCACAATTTGAGGGCATCTGTCAGTCTTACAATTATAGGGAAGAGACTTGGGCAAATATTTTATTGAGCAGATTATCAGGAAAAAGCCTAAGCATCATTAATTCACTTAGTGAAGAACAAAAGAACAATTATACCTATATAAAGAAAGTTTTGTTAAAGTTTAATGGAAACACAGAAGACATTTACAGAAAAAATTGCCATAACATAAGATTAGAGAGAGAAATAGACCCCAACACCACTATATTCAATATTAGAGACAATCTTGTCAAATGGCTTGAACTCACTGAAATTGACCTAAATGATCCCAAAGCATTACTAGACATGTTTATTATTGACAAAATATTAAGAAATGCATCAGTCTCTTTATTTTCATTCCTTAAAGAACGAAAAATTAAAAATGAGCGTGATTTAGTTGACTCAATCACACCATTTAAAGATGCTCACCCCAATGAAAAGCTAGATAATAGAAACAAAACACTAGCTTCTATTAGAAACACACCCAGTGATAGAGACAGTAAAAAACCAAACACATATTATCAAAACAGAAGATACCACAGCCTACCTGCCAGATGGCAAAACAATAAATTTCAGAAAAATTATCAAACCAATTACCAGACACCATATACTAATTACTCAAAGGACAACAAATGTTTCTACTGTGGCATTCCAGGTCACAAAAAATATGAGTGTAGGAAATTACAAAGAGATTTAGGACATTCACAAAAATACTATCAGAGAACATCACCCAACAGTAGCCCAATTAGATACAACAGTACAAATAGGAGTAGACAACCATATAAAAACCAAAGATATAATTCCAATCAGACCAACAGTAGACAAAACAACACCAAACCACATGAAACTTTAGCTAGCGCATGTCACAGTGAAGGCAGTTTACAATTTTTTCCTTCTTATGTAAACAACCAACTTGTTCAGTGTCTAAGAGACACAGGTTGGACAACAATAGTAGTTGACAAAAAATTGATTGATCCTAAAGACTACATATCTGAAAAAACCACAGTCATGTTAGCAAATAACACAAAAGTTGATGTTATAAAGCAGTAGTGGAAATAGACTGTCCATGGCTAACAGGAAAGGTAACGGCAGTTCTCATGGACAACCCAGTCTGTCAGTTAATAATTGGAAATATTAAAGAAATTCCAGATAATTCCCAAGAACTATTTTTAAAGTGGATTGAATCCAAAAAATTAACCAAAGAGTATATAAGTGCAATAACAAGACAACAACATAAAACTAGTCAGACACAGCCTGAAATAGAAGAAAAATTAGACATTCCAAAAAAAATATCAAGAGAGGACATAATTAGAATGCAGACAGAAGATAGGCAAATTCAGGACATTAGAAACAAAATTAAAGACAATAACTCAATTTTTAGAGGACATAATTACACAATAAAACACAATATTCTAATTAGAAATTTTGAGAAAGGTGAAGTCAAAAGATCTCAAATAATAGTACCATTAATACTCAGAAACAAAATACTCAACCATGCACACGACAGTCCTTTGGCTGGACACATGGGTATAAAGAAAACGTTAGAAAGGATAACACAGAATTTTTATTGGCCAGACATTCACAAGGATATAAAGAAACTTATAAACAAATGCATACCATGTCTGACAAAAACCCAATACACAGTAAACACAGAGCACCCATACAACCCACAGATAAAATAGGCAGAAACTTTGAGAAGGTCGCTATAGACATCATTGGTCCTCTTAATCCGCCATCAAATAAGGGACACAAATTTATTTTAACCATGATTGATATGGCATCTAGATGGCCAGAGGCAATTCCCCTTAAAAACATTAATTCAGAAACAATATGCATGGCATTGTTAGATGTATTTACAAGACATGGGTTCCCTGATAAAATATTATCAGATAATGGAACACAGTTTACTTCCAACTTAACCAATGCCGTTACAAAATTGCTAGGTATTATACAAGTGCATTCCACAATATACAGACCACAGGCCAATGGTATGGTAGAAAGATGGAACAAGACACTAAAAATAATGTTAAATAAAACAACAATAGACCACCCTAGAGAATGGCACCTATCTATACCCATGGTTCTATTTGCCTATAGAGAGAGTATACAAGACACCACAGGGTACTCTCCATTTGAGCTAATGTTTGGGGCCAATCCAAAGGGACCTTTAACTCTTTTCAAAGAAAATATCTTAGGCCAGAAAGGCAAACAACAGGACACATTTGACATAATTACAAAAATTAGAGAGAGGATAACATATGGCATAGAAAATGCTAAAGAAAACACTGATAGGGAGTCTAAAAGACAAAGACACATAAAGAATACACATAGATACCTCAGAGATCTTAAAGTAAATGATAAAGTTTTAGTCTGGTGCCAAACAATAATGGACAAAAGATCTGGCAGGGTCCTTTTACAGTACATGACAAGGTAAATTTAGTTGATTATGTAATCCACATGAAGGGTGAATTGAAAGTCCTACATGTGGACTTGCTCAGAAAATATGACTCTGTTCCAGAAGATTTAGAAACCATCACTAATGAAATAACCAGTACAGCCACCGTTGCTAGTGTTATACAATTAGAAGACAATGAAAGTAACACCACAACAAACAGACACTTAACAACAATTCTAAAAGAATACAAAGATTTCATCACAGAGAACATAGGACACACTAGTAGTTTAGATCACAAGATTATATTAACACAGGAACCCACATTCAAACACAAAATCTATCCAATCCCATATGCATTTAGGGAAGAAGTAAAGAAAGAACTAAATCATTTAATACAGACCAACAAGATTAAAAGATCAGATTCACCAATAGCATCACCCATGGTAGTAGTAAAAAAGAAAAATGGCCAGTGCCGTATATGCTGTGACTATAGAGAGTTAAATAAAATCACCCAATCAGATGCAGAACCCATGAGGGACACCAGAGAACTACTTGAAGAAATAGGCTCCTCCACATTATTCACACACCTAGATTTAAACAGAGGATTCTGGCAAATAGGCATGCATCCAGATTCCATGCCTTTGACTGCATTTGCCACAGAGGAAGGCTTGTTCGAATGGACAGTAATGACATGTGGTCTGGTCAATTCTACCGCAACATTTTCTCGATTCATGCGAATCATGCTAGAAGGCATACCAAATGTTGTACATTTTGTTGATGATATATGTATCCACACAAAAGATATGAAAACACATATAGAGACAATAAAAATAGTACTAAACAAACTAAGATCACATGGAGTCACAATAGCACCAAACAAATTAAAATTTGCACAAGAGGAAATATAATTTTTAGGATTTAAAGTCAGTAAGAACACAATTCAGCCCACAGAACACAACAGAGGAAAAATATTAAACATAAAAACACCACACACTCAAAAAGAAGTCAAAGCCATTTTAGGTTTGTGCAATTTTTACAGCACTTTTGTTCCAAAATTCTCTGATATTACTTTACCTTTAAGGAAACTAATAAACAAAGATAGCAAGAAAAAAATAGTATGGACGGATGAATGTGAGAATGCATTAAAAATAATCAAAGAAATTTTCCAAAGTGACAACATATTGTTATCACCCAATTTTAATCAGTCTTTCACTTTAGTGACAGACGCCTCCAACATTGGATTAGGAGCTTGCATTATGCAAGAATTCAATCATAAACTAAGACCAATTACCTATTTAAGTAGGGCACTAAGCAGAACTGAAATTAACTACTCAACCATTGAGAAGGAATGCTTAGCAATTGTGTGGGCACTCACAAAATTACAGAAATATCTATTAGGTAGAAAATTTATATTATTGACTGATCACAAGCCATTAATGGCACTAAATAGAAAGAAAATAGCAAACAGCAAAATAAACAGATGGTCGTTGATCCTATTAGATTATCAGTATGAGATAAGGACAATAAAAGGAAAAGACAACACAGTAGCTGATTTCCTCTCCAGACACATTGAACATACAGACAATGACAAAGACACTGACTTAAGACACATTAGTCAGACATTCTAAATGAAGATACACACATACGTTCAATCACTTTTTTCGAAATATACTTGTACATATCAATTTTGTAAATGAATATCAGATTTTAACCAATTGTAAATTATCTAATGCAAAATTTAAGGTTGTTACATTCATTTTGCAGTGTTTATTAATCACTAAGATGTTAATGTCACTTCACACTATCATACGTAAGAATTTTAAGAGGTTGTCATTATAGATTTTGTAAATTTTTTTGCCAAATTAAATTATGCACTATTATGTGTGATATTAACTGCCAAAGGCAATGTATTTCATAATGATGAAATGTTAATATTTATACACTTATTTAAAGGATTGATGGATGTGGTATTGAAATTTTCCAAAAGACATTATCATTATTTCAACATATAATTTTTGCCAAAAATTTTGTTGCACAAAAATTTTTCAGATGGGTGGGGCATGTAACGGACTATGTTTTCACAAGAAAACATAGAGGTAGCATGAGTGAACAGTGAATTGTGTTGACCATGTTTTTCCACGAGAGAGAGAGTGGATTGCATTTTTGAGAACAAATTTGAGCTCCACGTTTTTGGAGAGTAAAATTATGTTTTTGTCAGAGCGGTTGTTTTCCACGCTTTGATGGTAATAAAGTATGAGTTGACTGATATAGTCAGAGCTGAGCGCAGAGCAGTAGAGAGAGCTAGGAGAGCTGAGTTATCAGACAGTTGAGCTGAGTTATAGTAGTGTGAGGACGTGTCTTTCTGAATGATGGAATACTATAATATATACATGTGAAATTATTACATTCATGCAAGGATTATCAATAATATTATCAGTAAAGTGTGTTCAATAGAGTACTGTGAGTTTTAACCAGAATTGAGTATTCTTCTTTGCGTGCCTGGATAATAAGTGGAAGAATGAAGAAGTCTTAGTCGGCATCCTGAAGTATTAACATAAGTAACCATACTACTGACATAACTCACAGCATAAGAAATAAGGTCCCACGCCAATACATACATACATACATACATATACATACACACATACACATGCATACATACATACATACATACACACACAAATATTTACATGCATACACCAGTGCTTTGTTATTGCCCCGGTCACATCTGGTTGCTTCATAGGAAATATTTTTTTTACTCATTACTATGTAGGTGCATTCAGACCATATTTCCTATATTTAAAAAAAAAAAAAAACTTTAATAGATCATCTCTCGTATATAAACTTATATAAGAATCCAAGAGACGAATATAGAAATATTTTTTTTACTCATTTCTATGTAGGTGCATTCAGACCATATTTCCTATATTTAAAAAAAAAAAAAAAACTTTAATAGATCATCTCTCGTATATAAACTTATATAAGAATCCAAGAGACGAATATATTAAAACGAACACTTTTTAAAGCAAAAAGAACTTGTTAAAAAGAGCTTGTTTACATAATTTTTCTCGTGCGTGCCCTATGATTGACCCCGCATGAGACGCTGTGTTCACATAGGGGTGTGGCTTAGTCGTTTGATCTGTCGTGTTTATGCCGCCAGCCACTAAAAATAATTAATCTGTTCCAAATAGTATTTTGTAGAATGATTGTGATTGTTCTAGGAACTTCATAAGTCTTTATGGAAGGCAGGGCTTACGCGACCTACATAAGGGATTGACAGGCACGGACGAAAAGACGGAGATTCAGATAGATATTATTAACTTTACGAGGCGTGTTTTATTCCTTGTATATTTGTGTGCCCCTACTCATATGTGTTTATTTCGCACTTCATCATTATTCATTGACACATTATTCTAACTGTATCAACTGTGTACAGGTACAAGATCTACCATACTGTAAGTTAAAGATTGACATTATATTTTCTTTTCTTTTGTAATTATATTAAGACTTAATAAATCTTTTTAATTGTAACTAGAAACAGCGGTGGGTGTCGTATCTTTAATATTGTTGATTCTATGGCATCGTCCTTTGTTAGGCACTATTAACAACGAGCCAATTAAAATTAAAATAGGAGATTAATTTCTCCCCATACAAGTCAGTGCGTAACAAACTATACAGAAAGCAAAATATATAAATCAGTAAAGGTTCTCATGAGAGATCTAAAGTCCAAATTTCCTCTCCAGGATAGGAATCGTAAACCACTTAAGAATATATTCATGATTCCGAAGTCAACTATCATCTAGCGGAGAAATACGGATGCCAAAAAATCGTTATAAATTTAAAGATTCTGAATGAGATGAATAGTGATAAGGCTAGAGATCTGGAGTAGTGTAAAAGTAACTAGTACATTCTCATCAAATAATTTAGGAAACTTACCACCGTATATCTCCACTTCGCACAAAGTAAGGACTTTATGTGTGAAGTTTTTATCGCTATAAGTTGCTTGTATTTGAACTTTTGAAACTTGCGGCCACGAATCTGTTGACAAAATGTGGTAGACTTCCTGTGGTGACGTCAGAGTATCAGTGTAATTTTGGAGGTTTTGATTTCTTTGGTTAAAAGTTGTCAGAAGAAATCCTTTCAGTCGGACTAGACAGCAATATGCGTCACTTCCAGCTATTTGTGAATAGAGCATGAACAAGCTAATGTTGTTATATTCAACAAAGGGTGTATTTAATTACAATTTGTTAAATAATAAACAATTAAATTACAAACTTCTTTCTTGTTAAAATGAACGATTAAATTACAAGTAGCCCCCTCCCTTCAATAAAATGTATATGTGAGAAAGATCTTTATTTCCAGTAGATTCATACATCCAACTCTATTGTAGATTGTGTACGCTTGTACTGTAACGTTGCGATTAAAAACCAGTGTCCACATTGGAGCGGGATCGGAAGATTCATCAGTATGTGTGCAAGAGTTGTCTGCCCAGTTGTGGTTTCCGTCTACAGCGTTACTTGAGAGATGATGTACATGATTTTTTTCTGTTGTTGTTTGATTTGACGGCTGCTTTAGTGCAACATTTCGTCCTGATGAAATAATTTACTTGTTTAAAAATCAAACTTGTTAACCCATACATTGCTAACGGTTATTTTATTGACAGTGCCTAATATTTAAGTCAAACTCAGTACAAATAACTAATGTGGTAATTACAACAGCAACAAAAACATGAGTTTACAATGTTTTCCTTCTTTAAGAAAACAAGAAAACAATTACAGAAATATAGAAAAACAAATGAAAAGTTACGACACAAAATTAGGGATTTCAAGAAAGAAGAAATATATCTTATATAGCAAGACCAGGTATAGAAAAAACAAAGTATAGAAAAAATGAACACAATAACAATAATATGAAAAATCTAAAAAAATAAAAAATCAAGAGTACCATTGCGAGAAAAATGCGGGGAGGTAAAATAACTTGTTACTATAATTCGGATGTAATCAATTAATAACATTTTTTGTTTACTAATTAACATTTGAGACATAATTTATTTTACTCTTCTTACATAAAGTGAACACAAGTATCCAAATTCAGATCAATTTAGAATTATTTATCAGAAACACCAATAAATGACATACGAAATGCACTAATTGGAGAAAAATGTAAGTAACATCGCCATTGAAAGCATCCAAAATATTTTAAAAATACAGCTTGCTTTGGTTAGAACAACTTTTGGCGAACAACGTGCTACTGCAAAAATTTGCTGAGATACTATTTATTAAGAAAGAGAAAACAGAAACAAACCTAAATAGGAGAAATCATTAATTTTAGTTTTTGCACATTTACAAGGATTTCTTGCCTCTGTAAATCATAAGTTATAATCTTTTTTACGAATTAATTGGAAAATTTAACACAATCGAGATACTTAGTTTGAGACAAAATTACAAAATCGATCTACTCTGTATGGGAAAAAATTAAAACTATCTACAGAAAACAAATATCTTGACAACACAGTTCCCTCTAAACATAACGAGTGGGGATTGCACAAACCACATCAACTATGTCTAAATTGAATAAGCGGGGGTAAATGATCTTAAACTAATTGAAAGTACAAAACAAAGCCTCTATCTGGCATGTGTTCTCAATACGCTCCTATGTGGCATTGAAATTAAACAAAACATAGGCCAGTCATAAGTGGAAACTAAACAGCATCCAACAAAGATGTCTGCGTCTTATTTTACAAACTCGATAGCTGGACAAGGTGTCTAACAAAGAGGTTTTGGAGCGTGCCAAAATGTGTAACGTATTCTCAACTCTTAGAAAATGGTGCCTTCACTGGTTAGGTCATGTAAGGAGAATGGAGGAAGGCCGTATACTTGGGAATCTGCTTTACGGTGAATAGGCAGAAGGGGCAAAACTTATTTTATGGCCTCGACTGGGGTTTAAGGACATTTTGACAAGAACCATTCGGGATGCTGGTATAGAAATATAAGAATGGGAGATCTTCCAGCAAGCGAACATCAGTAAAGGGCAAAGTTAACAAGAATTTATGGTTCTCCTGGACGAAGTGCAGCTAAGAATGCTATTCCAGGATCGGCCTCGTAAGCGTTTCGATTATGTGTCTATAGCTCATCTATCATTCGCGAATGCGGGAAGATGAAAATTATTAAATTATTTCATTAAAATAATTTTAACAATTTTTACCTTCGGTGATGTAAAGGGAACACAGGCTGTCGACTGCAGGTCCATTTAGTAATATTGTTCTGGTAACTTTAGATATGTTACAATAGATGTCTAGTGTTACATTGTCAATAATTACATTTACACATGACCACTGTTGTGTTGTGACGTTATCTGGAAACTTTAGTGAAATGCTTTCTTTCTGTAATTCTAAATCATGCAGACAAAAATGTATTACTATGAAATATATTTATATATCAATAAATTCTAAGACTATATTTATGTTTATGACATAAATGCAAATCAAAATATAAATACTTTTATTTGTGGAAATTTAGTATCAATCAAAACTAATTAATTAAAATGAATAGAACATGCCGGTTATTATTTTATACCTTCTCAATTTTTTTTAAGTGCATATATTTCATTACTTACCACCTGTATTCCTGACGACAATTCTCAACCATGTGAAATAAAAATCAAAGCTCCAGGTGACATTAAGTTCTAAATTAGATCCAGTGAGAGCAGCACACGTTGTGTCATCCCCGTCTGAGATCTTGGCAACTTCTTGTGTCAAGTCAGGCGTAAGTGTTAAGGTTGCATTTTTGACGATGTCAGCTGAAAAAATACCTTATCTATAAGATATAAACCACTTTCAAAAAAAAAAATATTTTTGTTTTTAAAAAGAAACAACATTTTTATCTTTAGAAAAGATGAGGGTTTGGAGGCAGTTTGTCATTTTATTATAACGTGTTAAATAGCAGCTCATGTGATATTGCTACAGAAAGGGATATGTGAATTAAGACCATATTTGATTAATCGAGGTGACTGAATATAATGACTTTAAAAGGTACATCATAAAAAAAAATCGATTCCAAATATATGAATAGAAATAAATTACCATACTGACAAGCTGGACCAAACCATCCAATATCACATCCATTGGGACAGTCACCATTGGTAATATTACAAGCTACATTGTTCTTACAGTGACATTTGTACTGGCAGTCAGAACCAAACCAGTTTTTGATGAAACGGTCTGTTGTATTACATGCTACAAAAGACGATTTGTTTAAATAAAGACTTCGTTATTTATGACCATACCATAATTTAGTATATAGTATTTTAATATTTAAAATTTATACATATTTAAAAGCTAAACATTTCCATTTACAAAACGGATTTTTATATATAACAAGTTAAATAATTCATTTTGCTGTTAGTTAAAGTTGATGCCACACTTCTTCAAAAATTACCATTTTAAATCAAATAATTTTTAAGTGTCTAAAATAATATACTAAAAAACACGTCAAATTTTCTTTACAGATTAAACACCAGACAATAAATGTTCACGTGTACTTACAATCAGCACAGTTGTTAATAATGTGTAGCACTAAGACAAAGATAGCTAAAAATGTCATGTTTTTCTGATTTCAACGTTCCCATACACTGTAAACAGAAAACAAAAAAATGAAAACAAAGAAAACATAAAAAGATAAGAAGCAAAATAAGGTAAATTATGCTTAAAATATAAATTGGTATTTGTACAATGATTTTTACATTTTTGTCGACAAAAGCCATAGCACAGTTTATTAAATAGCACAGATGATGGTAGAAACATAGAAAGAAAACGATATTTCACTGTCAGATTGTCGTGCACAGCAATGCAGCCAACATGGCAGGAAAATATAAAGGTGCACAAACAAGAATATTTGACCAAAGTGAAACAGCTTTATTTTCACCATGTGAATGACACACACTCAATTTTTGAGGAAAGGACGTCACAAAATACTTTCCTGAAGCAATAACATACTTTGGAACTGTACAAAATGCTCTTTTCACGGCATGTCTAGCATACGATGGTCAGACCGTGTTGAAAGTATAAATCACTTTGTAACCCACTTGCTAAGCATCAAATTAGCGTTAAAAATCTCGCGGAGTAAACATAACCGCCAAACAAGAACATGGACAGATGGAGCTCCGCCTTATGTCACAAAGGGTATTAGTTACAGTTGATATATTTAACGGTCCGGAAATGCAGCGCTGGATCTCGAAGAGTCCAACTTAAGAATATTGATTTCATATCTGATAAATCTTTGGAAAAGTACGTGTAGCAAAAATAAAAATATTGCTTCTAATTTGTCCATGTAAGAGAAATTCTCAGAAAATTGGGGTAAAGCAAAACGTTAAAGGAAGAGGTTCCATGATGGAGTTGCTACATGGAAGCACATATGTCTAAACAAGGTGAATGGATGAATCCCCTAAGCAAACATATTTCTTAAAATATGTCTTCGATGTAATATTGGATAATGCTAGTGGTGGACTCACTGTACGTTTCACAGATGCATGGATGATATGCTTTCGGAGAAGTTCAGTTTTCTCTGGAAGTACCTAACGATTCCTTACGATGAACATAAGTAAAAAAATAAAAGTTACTGTCAGATCAATATCCCCTAATTGAGAAAAGTCATTTGCCATCTTTTCATCAAGCTAATTTTCTAATATATGTGTTGCCTTCGTATTTTGCTAACAATTCCTGTCAAAGTCATCTCTGCAAAGAACTTATTCAGCAAAATAAAGCTGGAAAAAATGATGATTGGGAAATGGTAAATTTGGTAAGACTCGGTAATATTTTGTCTTACCTTGAAAAAATGATTATTTTGATGTCCGGATTCACAATTTAGCCAGGAAAAAGGCTAGGAAAGAACCTTTGTATAGCATAAAATAAATTCCATTAGATCTCAACTATAAAAACTTCTATGACCTTATAATGAATCGAGTTATAAATTCACTACTTATTATATTGTTTCATTATTGTTTATATACTAATGTGTATTATTCTTTTTCTTTTCTTTTACAGAAGTAACTGTCTCCGTTTGATTATAATATGTGCACATTTTCATATAATTTATCAATTATGACATATTAAATTAATGTGTACTTGTGTCGGTAAAAGTGAACCATTTTTATTCTTTTTCCAGCAATTAATAATCCTCTCGGTGGCCCTGAGGTCAGCACTTTGAATACAAGCTATCTTTATTCATTAAAATGAAAGAAGACTTTACCTCTGTCATTTCTGTATCTCTTTACCTATTGGTAAAATTAATGCGTAATTGAGATTGAATTTAAATCTTGAAATCGCTAGAAAGTTGAAAATGGTTATGAGGTTCAAAAGAGTTATATTATTGCTTTTTTTGTTATGATTTGGGGGGGGGGGGCTTTTGTAAAATTTCATGAAGTGATTATAAAGTTATAGAAATGTTAAGATGATTTTATTTTTCTAAAAAATGTGGTTGAGGTTACTATTGACCCTTCATATTGGTTTTATAAATTTCTGTATTTCTTTACAATTTTTTTTAATTCTGGAAAATATTAGGTTATTAGCTTGGAAATGCCTATTGTCATAATAAGTTTTAGGGCATTTCCAATACTTTTTTTCATAATTTATCACTATTATTAGTTTTTTTTAGGTCTTATTTAGGTTATTGGAAAAAGGGTAACACATTACTATGAAATAACAGATTGAAGAAATAAAAGCAAACTCTACCCGGTCGCCCAAACTTTTGAACCGTGCGCCTAGACCTGGAAATAAGTCCCTAATTCAGCGTTCCCCAAGAGGTGGTCCGGTCCGTGCGCTCTACGATAACTTTCTGCACAACATCCATGTGGTCGAATAAAAAGAAAATATAATTAATTAATCTGACACCGGTCCGTGGTTCAGTTACGAAACTTATCCAGCGTTCCGTCAAACTAAAAATTTTGTTAGAACGCAGTGCTAATTAGCACTATTGCAAGCAGACCATCCTCTGTAGTGGCGTAGGGAGGGGCGGTGCGCCATAAGGGAGCACTTATTTCTTTATAATGGAGTGGTGGTATTTTATAGCAACGGCGGAGTTCGTATTTTATTTTAACAGAATAGGGTGGGAAATTATCTTGGTCAGCCCCCTAATGGCACTTAGCCTAGCCACGCCACGCTTTTTTTCTGCCAGGTAGTTTAATCAGTCTGTCACCTGACTAAACGTATGCCATGGAGGAGCGTATTGATATTAACGGCTGGTAAATGGCAAAAAATATATCATTAGGAAGTTACTTCTTTTCCAGCATAGGAAAAAAAGAATACTTTAAAACAAAAATGTTTTCCGCCGTATCCTTTTGTAAACACCCACCTCGTCACATAACAAAGAAACACTATGCCATAGATGTATGATAGCACGCGTGTGACGCCAAAATGGTCTGAGAAAAATCAGCCCTTGAAAAATTACTACGACGAATTATCTCATAAAAAAAGGCCCGTCAATAGGGCACTCGCAAATGAGCCCCCGATAATAAGGCCCCTAAGAAAATGGTCCCGAAAATAATTCTCCCGTCATATAGTCTCCAAAAAAAGTGCCCCGGTCATTAAGGCCACCGACAATATGACTCTTTACAATTTTACTCATGTCAAAAGGGCCTCTGACAATAAAGCTGTCGACAAAAACCTCCGGGGGCCATTTTGACTTGGCCCGAATAAACGGTGCAGAGTATGCACGCTAACGCCTTGGCAATAAACAGTTTTTTTGACAATTTGATAGGAAATTAACTTTCCTTAGACCTTATTAATTAAATGAATTCACATTTCAACAATCTATCTTTATGTAAATTAATAACTTAATCCTCTGATAGTTTGTTGATTCATTTACACTTGTAAGTCAGGACAATACCTCTTTGATGCATTAATTATTGAACACATTCACGATATTGCAAAGATCAAATAATGACCGTCTCGTCATGCTGCAATTTAAGCTGACGATTAGATTTTTGTATAATTTTCAAGGTTACAAGCTGAGTTATCGCCTCTCGTGTTTTGTGACGCAACCACGCATTTTGGTGCCATGCATACTCCCCCCCCCCCACGAGCTTGATTAATATTACGTGCTACGTAATGGTTATGAACAATTTTACTGGGGTGCAAAACTCTAACGATTAGGTTTTTGTATAATTTTCAAGGTTACAAGCTGAGTTATCGCCTCTCGTGTTTTGTGACCCAACCCCGCATTTTGGTGCCATGCATACTCCCCCCCCCCCCCACGAGCTTGATTAATATTACGTGCTACGTAATGGTTATGAACAATTTTACTGGGGTGCAAAACTCTCGTGTATTTGATAAGAGAAGCTGGTTTAAAATTTTTTGAAATTAACTAATGACAAGCAAAACTCTTGAGTGCTACGTGCAAATCTTGTTATAAAAGTCTGTAAACTCACACGTGCCACATGGGTCCCTGGGTATGAATGTTTCGAATATGAATAATAGAAAGTTTCCCCCACTTTAAATTGGCGGTTAATTGTAATGCAGAAAAAAAATGGGCGAAAAACTTTGCGAGACGTAGCTCGTGATTACTTACAATCGTGTGTGTGTGGATAAAAATTTCCCAATTATTATTACTTCTGTCGATTAATATTTTCGCCATGTGTGGGAATTATTATTTCCACCTCTTTATTATAAGACATATTCAAGTTCTGTCATTTGATATATTTTTTACCCTTTTATCATTTCTATGGAGTTGATTTATTGTTAAGATATCAACATTGTTAATTTAAATAAATTGATTAATTTAAACTTCACTAGCTTTGGTATCTTTTTTCTTAGCGCACTGGTTTTAGTCCTTTGTTAAGTAGTGATCTTCTAAAGCGCTAAATCCTAATGGTACGTAACAGCAATGTATCAGAAAGCTCGAGAATAAAGAAAAGTCATGGTGGAGTATAAAGGCTCAGCTCACCAATAATAAACACGAGGAGGACAAACAAGCAGAAGAAACAAGTGATGTGCTTTAGGTTAGAATTTATACTGCGTAAGAAATAGCAGGAGTCATGTTAAGTTCTCGTAGTTAAGTCTCGTAACTCAGTTTAGGGGTAAGTGCCGTCTATTAGTAATACCGTTCGTTAAGTTCAGTACTATTTTGTGTTTGATAGTCTGTGTGGAATATGTTTCTAAAATTATAGTAGTGAAGCTTGTAGAACTGAATATATTTTTGATACTACTGTTGAACTGAAGCAGTGTGTAGGGAATAGATGATGCAAAATATTTTAGAGTAGGACTAAGTTTTGACTATATCGGATCATTCACCAGAGTTAATGCGGCGATAATTGACATGGTCACGTCACTTTTAAAAGTTATCCAAAGAAATGACAGCCAGAATGTGTTTGGAGTAAAAGATTACAAAAATGATTTTGACAGCTTACTTACTTACATTTCATTGTTTTCATATCGATTTATTTTTATTCAATTACTTTAATTCTTTTTCCATTTCCCCACGCCCATCATTTGAGGTTCACAATTTACCTTCATTTGTTATTTTGTTCTATGATTCAGAGCGAAACTATTTTACTTGTTAGGAGGTGTATTTATTTTGATTTTACCCTTGTTACTTTCTGACAATGTTTTTAGCCGAATAACGTTTATTTCTTACAAGTTTGTTGAACTATTTGTGTAATTTCATTTAACCAGTGCTTCTTTTTTTTCCTTAAAACTTATAAGGCTATAAAAATATGAAGTAGATACAAATACAATTTTGTATTCAATACTTCTTAGTGTTAACTTTGTCTAAAATTTCAATACTTAAATATTATTAGTATCGTTATTCATTTACTGGTTTGAGTTAAAAATTTCAGCTTTTCAACCAGTTTCTTTGTAAGAATTCAATGAAGCTAAATCAATCACGGTTGTTTTCAATGGGAGTCGCTTAGTCACTTCCTTGTTTGGTCACGTGATGTGAGTAAGCCATCACTAGGCTGTTACACACAACAAAAGATACTTCATCAGTGCTTCCCCAATGTCATGTTACTTAAAAATTTTACCTTTCGAAATATTCTGGAATACATGCGTTTTTTAAATGAAATCCATAGATGTGACAATAAATATACGTCAGTTATGATTAAAGGAAGAAAGTTATTTCAAGAAAAATTTGTGAGCGATATTCGATGGGAACTATCAATACTATTATCGGCAGGATGTTGTTGAGCTCCGTGCGTGCTCATGACGTCATTTGCGTTTTTATTCAATATTGATGCAGGAGTCATTCCCCTTTGTTTATTTTATTGTTAATTTTCATTGGACGAAATGTAGTGTAGTTGTAGTGTGTAACGGGCTACTGTTGTAATGACGTCATTTGCGTTTTTATTCAATATTGATGCAGGAGTCATTCCCCTTTGTTTATTTTATTGTTAATTTTCATTGGACGAAATGTAGTGTAGTTGTAGTGTGTAACGGGCTACTGTTGTCAAGCACTAGTGTGTTGTATACAGCCTACCGGAAATCTTACTCGTTTTTACTCATATCACGTGACAAAATAATTGACTAAGCGACTCCCATTGCGTAAAATATCTTTGAAGACGAAAGAAATTTTAAAAAAAATAACCAACTAACTAATTTACAATTAAATGAATACAATAATTGTGAGATATAATTACATGATTCCTGTAAATGAGAAATCGCTCTAACGATTTATCATCATTCCTGTTGAACAATATCTTAAAGATCACTCAGGTGGTTTTTCAAATAATCCTTGTCCTAATTTGAGTCTCAAGACTATAATTTTAAACAATTAATAGTATAATGTGTATAAAAGTGAAAGGCAAACCAGGTCGTCTTGTCACAATAGCTGATCGCAACTCCCCTTTTGAATTATTCAATCACATTTTCTATTAAGCCAATGGTAGAATTTACTTCCTGGTCTCTTAGATCTAGAAAAAATACACGTAATTAAAGTTTGAATAAGAAATAATAAAAACATTTCCGTATATAAGAAAAAAAAACAACAAATTCATTTAACATTTAAAAACAAATCAAATATAAATATTATGACAAATAGTTATAATACCTAGGGATTTATAATTTGTGATATACAATGTATACACATTTTTACTACTGAATCTCCATGTATCTGTAATATTCACGTTAAATGCATTTGATTAAAATAAAATAGTTTATACGTGGCCATCTTGACCAACATAATCATTCAAACATGAATACATTGTAATAATATCGTTTTAGTTAAAATTATGTTAACTTTAATTTAACGATATATCATTAAAATTAATTAAGAAATAAAGTTAATTAAACGTTTAAAAATATTTTTCAAAAATAATTTGTTTCTAAGTTTAATTTATCTTGTGATGTTATATTAATAAAATAAACTGAGATGTACCTTCGACTGATTGGCAAGCTGTAAACATCCAGGTATCTGTCATTTGTCCTAAGAGGTTACTAATGTGTAAAAAGTGCAAAGAGTTTTGACAGAATGGTAGCCCAAAGAAGACAACAGCACTTGATTTAATAATAATAATAAGAGGTCTTATATAGCGTGGTACCCCAGCCTAGGGCTGGGCTCACCGCGCTGTACATAAAAATGTATCAAAAGAGACATAATCATGACATTAATCATGATTTAGCTGCATACCGCTATCACATTAAATTTCGAAAACCATATATACTTAGGCCACTTCCTACTCACTTTCCTAATGATGAAGAGGATGATACGATTACTAAATCTTCATCAATAATGAATTGTGCGTCTATAAGGCATTCATGCGCAGTGGACTGCAGTGAAGGTATACCACGTAGTGTCTGTTTGGCTGGTGCACTTGTGCCTGGTTCCCTTTGACAAGTTTTTTTATTATTTAGTATACCCGCGCCTTTGCCCTTCCCGGAAAGCTGATAAGGAAACACACAGCTCGCTAGACAAAATGAACGTAGTTAAAATACCAATGGGTAATTCCCTGAAATAATACGATGGTATATATTCTATTTTCTCTCCACATAGCTCTCTTAAATGACACTAAGTGGAATAGATTTGAGATAAGCTTCAAAATTTATAAACGTATAAATTACGGGCGTGTAATCCTAGAAAAGGTATAGATTAAAAATACACGTCCCATGAGTCGACTTATATGGATTGTTTAATAACAGTGATAAATGTATCAGATGGTTTAATATATAGCAACATAATTTTTTTTTTTTAAAAAATAGACACATCCATTACAAATATTAATGTTTTAAATCTTGGAGAAAAGGATATTTCCTTAGTCATTTTCAACACAGTTTCGACACTTATAAATCACAAAGATGTTTTTATAATCATGTTTTAGAAAGATGGTAAAACACAAATTTCCTTAATTTTAAAAGAGATAATATATTTATATCTAAAAATAATTGTTTTTTTAGAGATTTATATTCACATAATGATGCAATCACATTTTTCCTTTCCTGAACATAATTATCGGGTTAAAAACAGAACATATTATTCTGATATCCAGAGAAGAAACTATTTAAAACTGTTATGCCTGCAGCATATTTAGTTACTGAAATCTTGTTATTTCTATTTGGTTAAGATGTTATAATAATTTGGCGTATATATTAAATATGTAATATATTAATGTGACAAAGATATTGTTTTATTTGAGGATAATGCAGTAGAGATTGCATTATGTTTTCAAGGTTCAGTACAGAAATTTAAAGCCAGGCACACATCTACGTCACAAAAGTATAAGTGCAAAGTATCTCTTAGATTTACAAGCCTAAACTTCCTTATGTGTCGGTAAAGCTTTGTTTATTTAAAGAACAAATATCTGTTTATTTTGCTTCCTTGTGTTATCACAGTATATAAATAAAATAATTGAATAGCACGTTATGCACTGATACACGATTAAGATTTGTTAGTGAATAAATAAAATGGTTTAAAATACGAATTAAAGATAAATGAAATTAAAATTAACAACATAAGTGCAGTTTTTATATACACATCGTTCTATAATAAATATTCTATAATAAATTTTCTATCTAAGTTGAAGAAAGAACTTGCTTACTTTAAGAAAATATTTTTGTAATTTAGAGAATCTGAGGAAAAAATCTTGTTTTATTTCATTTTATTGCCATCCGTATTATGACCAAATGTATGTTTCTCTTTACCATCAATTTAAAGCTGGACTAAATCATACTCTCAAACAACAACTACCTCAGTGAAAGTAAATTGATTTATTCCGTATTCTGATACTTCCATTAACAGAAGAAACAAACATGTCCTCTTTGTACTTTAATGTTGCAATTTTAAAAGTGCGAACAATACATAAAGATTATCAAAAACATATTTTAAAAATTACTTCTACATCTAGTCCATTCAGGATATAAAAAAGGTAAATATTACACTCATAGTCAACTGATACTACAAAAGATGACTTATTTTATTTTAATACCACTTACCCGCTTTAAATGTTACAACACACATAAGGAATGTCGTGTTGAACAGGTCATTACTTAGAAATGCATTGGTGTATTAGAAAATAAATTCAGTAACAGTGTCGAAAGGCTTGTAGAATGATTGCCAACTAACTTTCTTATGAAAAATTTTAAAACCAAAACTATTATCAAGGAAGACCTTCCATAAAAGGCGACAATTAAGAGCTTTAGGTTAGATTTTATTTACTGCAGAAATAAGGGTGTTTAATGACTTGATGCTAGCGATCACTAAGTTTACAACAACCCGATTCTAGTGATAAGCAGTAAAGACAGTTGTATTGTTTTCATTTCAAAAGCAAGAAGACAAATTCAAAACTAAAATACAGTTCCAACTTATGTTGTCAAATTTTTATCAGTTCATAAAATAATATATATTGGGTTTATAAATCAAGTTTCACAATAATCTTTCATGAAAATTAAATATAATGGATACTCTAACAGCTCAATTATTACGATACATTTTGTCGCGTAATTTAGTATTAACACAAAGTTTTATATTGAAATGTCATGCACACTACGAGAGGAAGTGATTTTTGAACATGGTAAAGAAATATCTCATAGCATCGGACTAGCTATCGCCCATTAGAGTGTAATATATAATACGTGAAGTGTATAAGAGCCTGACAATTATTTTTACTCCAACCTCGAGATTTATTTCTCATTTTTGTAAAACGTATTGTGTGAATAAAATATAGTGATGTCACCACATCTGACTTATCCCATGCTTCCACATAAATAATTATCTCAATAATTATCAGTAACCGCAAAGCAGGATACATGGATACAGCTATAAATGATAAGTAAATTAAGAGTGTTCAGCATATACAATCATACAATACATTACAGATACTTTTATCCTTCCTCAGCCAACTGTTACCGAGGAGGTATAGTTGACGGATTGAAGTTATTTGTGGATTTTCAGGGTCAATCCACTGAACGTGAGGTTTTCCTCTGGCCCTGATATCGGAGGGCCTGCTAATGTAAACTTTCATTCCAGCACAGACATTCTGACCAGGTCGCATATCCAAATAATTTATTTGTTGGGCCATTACGATGGCACCATTAATTTGTCTAACTTTCGGGTTCCCACTGTGGTCCTTTCTTTTGCATTATCTGCTCGCCCTAGAAACTCATCTCGTAGGTGAATATTTTTCTCTTATGTCAGAGTCCGTTTCTGTCAAAGATAGGTAGGGGATACTATAAATAACAGTAGTTAATTCAACTTTTTGCCAAAAGATAAACATTTCTTGCAGGGCTTTTCTATAAATCATAAACGTTGTCTCATTTGGAAACAAAGCAGTGATAAAAATCATTTAAATTTTCAATGTCAGATAAGGAAATCCTCAAGTTTTTTAATATTTTTTTTAAATTTACGAGCCCAGTGAATCAATGTGAAACTCTGTCCACGTTGCTTTGTTGCATCCCGTTTTCAGATTCGTCCATTTTCTTTTTAACATATTTCCTGAATTTCTGTTTTTTGGGAATGTACTGGGGTTTTTGCTAACTGTTGGATTGTGAATAGCAGTTTGTATCGCAGACCTGTCTATACAGTCTGATTGTTTTTCAGCTTAACCCACCTCTATTTTAAAATCGTTTTAACGTAACAAAATAGTACTGTTTTTGTTTTATCCAAGTTTAAGACAAAGCAATTATACATTTACCTTTACACGACAATGTTACCAAGATTTGTATGACGGGACTGAAGTGTTCCATCAAATTAAAAATAAACATTGACCCAAAAGGCAAAACCTGACATCCATTTTTTTAATATTTAATTTAATTTAGAATTAATGTCATTGTTATCTTTAATAAGATATTAATGCATTTTTAAACACACGTGGCCTTAAATTATAAATATAAAGAACTAATCAGAGACAGCAATGGAACAGGTAAATCTGAAGTGACATCTTCTTACCAATTCAATAAACAATGACTTTTAATACCAAACAATTTTTTATTTTTTGAAACTCGTTATTTTTACAAGAAAGCAAACAATGTAACAAAAAATCTATTTTATTTTAACAATTTCTTCTTCCTTTCATATAAAACATGATGCAGTTATAAGTCTTCATAACTTTAACAATACTATTTTGTTTCACTCTCTTGTAAGTTAGGTCTCTGACCAAAAGTTGGTATACGCTTAAAGGAAAGGTACACCATCACATTACATTCTAATGTAAACACACAGTAGAGAGTTGTAGTGTGGATAAACTGTTAATTAAAAGAGTCTAAAACGCCACAGTTTAGGTTTTTTTTATCATTCACAGGTTTGTTATTCAAAGATTGGCTGTCCCAGTAGGCTATAAAAGCAAAAAATAAATAAATACATGAATAAATATGTACGCATTCAAATGTAAAATATAACATCTTTAAAACACATTACATCTTATTGTTTTCAAATGCAAATTAATACATTTTTAAAACATTATTATTATTTTTTAGATCTATAAAACCTTTTACTTTTACTAAAATTATGCAAATAAAAACCACAGATACTTACCACCTCATATAAGCATAAAAACTTTAGCTCTCTTTATTTCGATTTTTGAGTGAATTTATTCTCATACGTCTCTTACGTTTGAAATCGTATAAACAAAGTTTAACCCTCTTTAATTTACCATGAACTTGTTGACAAATATCTTATGTTATATTCTTTACATAAAAAACCTCACAGTTTCAATAGCTGCCTTCACATCCCTTTCCCTTGTAGTTCCAGGAACTAATGACTTGTTCTATTTTGCTTCCAACTTAAGAACGATTTCTTGGTCTCAAGTGGGTTTTAATTTAATTCGTGTTATCATTGATTTTTTTTATATTTTGGAACCCTTACGAGGAATTTGTGAAATCATGGTGTTTTGATGAAAACTGTTTGGCAATGGCTGATCTAGGTTAAGAGATCGTAAAATATTACACGCTACAGTGTGTAATAGGCAAGCTTTTGTAACTTCTTTTGTAAATTATTTATGTATCATCTCAGCATCGTAGCGGTACGCTACAATGAGGATCATGAAACGCTGGACATGAGAATTCGGGTCTAACAATCATAGGAAAGCTGACCGATGTTACACCGGAAAGGAGGTGGAGCCTGAGTAAAAGTAACTAGAAGTGCATTATATTACTAAGAAACATTTTCTGGTAAGGGCTTGTGACCTTCGGCTCTTTAAGCTCCGGCTAGTACAGTGACCACCTGTTTCATAAATAATCACAAATGACCAAATCATACGCAGATTCTCAAAGAGCAAAAGAACGATACAGACATTGCTAAATTGTGACAACGCTTTGAACCGAGAAAAAGTTGATTGTGTTCATTTATGGTACTAACTACAAGTTGAGATACTTAAGAGAAAATGGCGACCTCCACACACAGCAGCTGACAATGAATGGAGGATAGTTCATTAAATCATAGAGTCTCTCTATTTTCTGGACGACATACTGAACTCGGCCAAGCATCAGCCTTTTTAGGTCATTTTTGAGTCAAGGAGACTCATAACAAATTACCCTCGCACTTTTTGGCCTAAAATTAAGAAAGAAGTCACGTAGAAGGCAAATCAAATCAGAATATACAAGATAATCTTCTTTAAACAATTTTAGCGTTTGAAGTTTCTTTAATTCGCGTGACACTAGACTGCTTTGTATCACTGCAAAGACGAAATCAAAATCTTTTCCAGAAGGTATTCCTCTTCTCAATATCAAGCCTCCGAACATGGTCAAAACACTAAGGAATTTTTAAAAATATTGTTTCTACTTCGAAGTCGGTACTGTCTAAATAAGGAACCAAATATAAGGCTGGAATTTTTATAACAAGTTGATAAACCACCTAGGAATTCAGCACTGCTTGTAGGGCGCATACTATCTTGAATCGTAGAGGGTACTTGGGTGATTTTAATAAACACTAAAGAATATGGTGAGAACGTATTGCCTAGAACAAAAGAAATTCTGGGATAAAGGAATCAGCTTGCTACTGTTCGCCACCAGTGAAGCAGTTCAATAATCACTTGGACTCGGCCCCTTTGAACTGGCGTTTGGTCATACGGTTTGAGGGCCCCATAAACTTTTAAAAGATACGTCGATGCCATCGACACACAATGGAGTACTTTAAGAGTATGTATATCAGAGATTCTGGCCAACTTGAATGCGACACTAAGAAAATTACCATTATTAGAAAAGTATGTTGCATCTTATATTCCTTTCTCTTGATACACCTTGTAGTTTTTTTAAGCAATTAAAAAAAAAATTGTGTAAAGGAAAATTTTTTTGTTTTATTTTCATTATTAATATTTAACTAAAAAGAATTCCGTTTAAAAAAAATGTAAATTCTTATTATTTTAAGACGGAAGTTGTTATACCCCATGTGTTGACCACATGTTGTGGTTAGCAAACTTACCCCCACCCCTTTTATTTTTTTTACGTCACCAATAGGTTGTTCTAGTCCCTTACTCCATCGCTTTTAATTTGAAAAGTTTGTCGTCATTATCAGAATGGTCTACATTGCTATACATAGATGGTAACATACTCTCTGGCTATTGAATCTTAAATTTTTTATTTTTACTCCACTACTAGGACGGTCGACTGTTACAGGCAGACTTAAAAACGAGAATCATCACACTTAAAGGAGTCCTTACAAGACTTACTAGATGTTCACTGTTTGTGTGTATGGATTAAAATTTGTAAATTTTTATATTTATACTTTTTCATTCGCTGTTTTTTAATTTTGAATAGTTTTTATTTCTGCATATTTCGTTTTGGTATTATTATATAAAGTTAATAGTATACTTAAATTGAATATTAGAAATATCAATAGCTTAGGTATCTGTTTTTCTTTGTATACCGATTTTCAGCCCATAGCTACGTATTCTTCATATAATAAGGAAACTTTAAAAAATGCTACAGATTAAATTTGTTAAACTTATTTTGGACCGTAACATTCGAGGTGAAATTGCGTCTTATTTTATGAGAAACAAATTATAGCCTGCTGGTCAATATATATATACAAAGAGGGTAAATTTTAAGAATATAATCGGTCCTCTTTTATGAGGATACTTTGCTTTTCCAATGTCAAATGTTTTATGTTTCCTGCAGTTTGACAGATGCGATGTCTCCACTGAATAAACATTTTAAAATAATTAGAGAATAGCCTCTCTCCTTGCTAGACTGATGAAGTTACATTTCTGTAAATTGCTTAACTTAATAAGAAAACTACCACACTGAACACCGAATTGTCTGCCTCATCTGTAATGGTCTGGAGCAAACTTTGTTAACAGTGAGTATTCAGGGGAGACAAGCTATGATATACGTTATTTTGTGCAAGAAGTCTTGAATAAGGAAGGATGGTACCACGGCTCAACCGATTAAACACAGAAAATGCAGTGAGTTTGTGTTATAAGGAATGTCGTGTTTTATTTAGTAAATTAATTATACAATAAATTATTCTTTTATTTGGAAATAATACTGTTTAATAACACTACCATCAGAAGTCAAATGAGTATTTTGAAATAAAGAAAGAAAATTAGGAGAAAAATAAAGTTGTATAATGTCTTTTTTTTCAAGAATCAAATGAATAAATATCATTATATATAAACCAACTTTTAAATATATTTATGTCACATTAATTCATGAAGTTATTTTTTGCAACTGAGAGAAAGAAAAATGAGAGGGCACGAAACCGATTTTACAGTGCAACTTACTCTTTATTAAACACATTTGCATTGTTATTTAAGCTTTACAAAAATTATACAAATTTTTCAAATAAATTATAGTTCAGTAGTATTTGTTACTTCTTATGTTCAGTGTCATTACATTTATATAAACTATGGAAATATTTAAACATCGCCAAAGAAATTTATATTTTCCAGTTGTTATCAAACACGTTTTTGATTGAGTTTTCTATAATTTCCCCAGACAGCCATTACCGATAAGATGCTTTAAATTGTTCTATTTTTAAATTCACATTTAAGTAACGTTGAAATGTATTTAGTCTTTTAATATTTAACTTACATCAGAGATGTTTGTTCTAGGTAACGAACCTTTCTAAACGACATTCCCAAGCTTAAAAACAGTGTTAACTCTGAAATACAGAAAGTCTGATCAAAATAAACAAAGTTAAGGTTAAACATTGTAAAGAAGAACAAAATGCTATAAAATAATTAGAATGTTTTAGCTCATAAATGTTGATTAAATGTGCTTTAATGCTATTTTACAAAAGCAATATGTATCGTAATGGAATTGAGTGAGAGATAATAAATGTTGAATGACTTCATAAAAAAGCAATATAAAACACGTGTTCTTCTGTTATAAATCAAATATTACACATTTATAACCAAATTAACTTTGTAAAAGTGCCAAACATATTTCCATATAGATATTTCTTCTTAAAAATATATGCTCTGCTGTGCTTTGGACTGACCATATTAATTAATTTAACAAATTCCCACTAAGAGGTAAACGAAAAAAAATATTTTTCTAACCAATTTAGATTATTACAAATGCTATAAACTGGATTTGTAAGTGGGATAGCTTGTGTATAACGTTTTTTAATCATAAGTTGGAGAATGTCTTTTTTTTTAGGGTGAGTTGTGATAAGTCACGATATGGAAGGGCAGTTTGTTGAGTTATTATCGATAGATAAGCAAGTGGGTTATTGTTGCTGTATGATAAGATGCAAGTTCACTTTAGTCATTGAGACAAGAGTCCTCTTGGTAAAAATGTCAGTATGGTGAGGATTTTTATGGAGAACGTATTGTGAACTGGTAGTTGCTGTGATAGGATCTTGAAAATAAAGACGTTTTAATTATTTTTTATTGAGCGTTGCTGTTGCACCTAAGTGTGGACCAAGTGTGATTGTGTAACAGTGAACCTACACAGCGTTGTCAAGCAACATTTTTTTTAAAAATAAGGTAAAAGCTGCTATTTCAAAACATAAAAATGTATAATTTACATAGCCCTTGGAAAGTAGAGATTATTATTGTTTTTGGAAATAAAACAAAAATTATAAGCCCGCTATGCTGTTAATATATATAGTTATAATGAGATATAATTGTTTATAAAAATTTAATTATTTTCGTAGTGTTGACCTATTTAAAAATAAATAGATCTAATTCCAGCACTTAAAGCTTTGCATTGGCGTACAATGTGCCTTCATTCCCAACATTTCCTAAATCGTCTTTGTCGTCACCATTTGAAGGAACTGAGAGCTTGGGATCATTAAAGTTGAAGTAAACGCTGTTTGTCTCGTTATATCTTTGGAGAACCTGATAAAGAACTTTGTATTGCTCCTGAAATTGCACAGATCATTAAAATTATTGTGCTGTAATGAAAAGTTTTAACATTTTTGCTAGTAGTGAAAAAAAAAGAAACATAATTTTAAAAAACAACAGAAAGAACGAGTATACTCTTCATCTATTTGTAATTATTTTACAAAATGTTTTTACAATGTTGTAAATATTTTTAAAACATTAAGAAACTAAGGCTATACAATAAATCTTCTTATACGAAAAATTAGAAAAAAATCAGTGCCAATAAAAAAAGGTAATATTATTCTGTACCATCATAACACAATCTAGCACTTTAAAAAAAATATGTTTTAGGCTCACAAAACCATAATAAATGTCAGTGAGAAAATACTACGATGATTAAGAACTTAAGTAACAAATTAAAATGTTCTGAATTACCTATAAATCTATTTCATTATTTCATAGTCCAATTTAAAGTTATAAAACTAGTGTCTAAAACTAGAAAATTCAAGTATTTCATAGATTTGAATACTTGAGACTCAAGATATTCTCCGAAAGTTAAAATAATACCAAAAAAAAAAAAAAAAAAAAAAAAAAAAAAAACAAAAAAAAAAAAAAAAAAAAAAAAAAAAAAATTTACTTTAATTTATTGTTTTTCGTTAAATCATGTTGAACTTAATAGGAAAAAAATATGAGTTGGTGCATCGTCTCTTAATTATGTTTAAGAAAATTCCAGATAAATATACATGCATCTGTCTGTAGGTAAGTTGCCCTAATCTAATAAAACTTATCAAATGAAATCAAAATTTCACGGAAATTTAAACTTGACTTGATGCCTAGATTATTTCCAGAAAGTCGAAAACATTTATAGAGCTATGTGGACTCACGCATACGCTTCAATAAATTTTAAGACCATCTAGAAATTTTGAGAAACTTGAAAGGATCATCTTAAACCTCCTAGCACGTTGGTGGATCCTAGTTATCTACTTAAAGACTACAACATTTATGGCACATTAAAATTTAAATAAGGCTCCAGTCTCAAAAATACTTTCATTGGTTAATATCTAAATTTGGTGTAATTTAAAAAAAAATTATATTAAAATTTCTTTAATTTTTAAATATTGGAATTAACAAGTTATGAATAACTTGAATAAATGGCCAGATGTTATCGGCATAATAATGGTAGGTTTATTCCGATGGTTTCTTCCTGCTATTGCAAAACCTCATCACAATTCCAATCGTTAGAAAGTGGTATCTAAGTAAAGATATTTAAGTTTCTAACATCATTAAGTTTAGAGAAGTATTTATCCGCTACATATTATACGCCTACCCTACTCTCTTTCACGCCCCTAAACTACATTTTCCCCTCTAAATATGAGCTTTAATTACCCAATCTAAATTTTCACTAATTATATCACTTTTGTTAACTAAAGAAGTTAATTAAGGGATGATTTAATTTCTACGGCAGAGAAATACTTTAGATTTTCCATTTGTCGTGGCCTTGAATTCCAACTTTGTTTCTCTAAATATTGTTAAAAACATAATCTTAAATTTACCGCTATTTGTGTTATTAAAATATTTTATCTTAAAAGAATTTGATAAATTGACATCTTCATTAAAAAATTTAAACGACATATTTCAATTTAATTTCAAGTAGGGACACTTTCCATAATTTATCTAATCAGAATGGATTAGAAAATGCATGCGCTATCAATAAATGTTTAGTTTGTAAGCCCGTTAAGCCATGTTTGATGTGAAATTCTGATTAAATTCCATACTGTTTATATTAACTATTATTTCATACATTCATATAATTAAACAGTCTTAGGTATAATCATTAGATATGTTAAGATCGTTCTGTAAATTTAAAATTACCACTGTTGGGATCACTTGAGGACGGATAGTCTTAATGGCACCAACGACAAGTGGAACAGTCAGGCGGTGGTCATTGTCCATTCTGTCCAGTAGGAGAGTCAAGACACAGGCCAGACCACTGTAGGTTGCACCGTTTCTGTAAAATACAAATCGACGTTTTATATGGATACACTTGTTGTTGGAAAGAGAATAGCGAAGGTTATTTCTAATATTATAATAATAGTTGCATTCATTTTAATAAATGAAGCTGTATCAATACTTTTTAAAACAGATTTATTCTCTACGCACCTGCACATGTATAAAACTCTGGCCTCCTGTTCAGAGTTAGATGTCCTTGCATGCTTGAGAAATGACAACAATTTCTTGGGATCTGTGGCATTGTGTGTATATCTGAGGTGAATGAGGCTGTGCTCTTCTGCGCCCTTTATAAAAGTTTCAATTAAACAAAACTAAAATAAAAATTCATGTGATGCTGCAGGCATTATGGTTGAGAACAGAGATACATGACACAGGAATGTAAATAATAATCAGGGGCGTGCACAAGGAGGAAATGAAAACAAAAGGCGCATAAAATCGTTTTTTAAAATAAAACAATATGTTTTGTTATTACACTTAGGATTTTTCTCGGGGTGATATTTTTGGTCATAATTCTGTTAAGAAACATTTTAACCTTGTTTATATGTGTCATGTATAGCGTGTTAGTCTCATTCCGTACTGTGGATACTATTTTAACATATAATTATGTCAGCAGAAACTATTAAATTATCTTTTAAATGTTATTATCTACCATTGATCCATTTACAATCAGCTTTCTCTCTTCCCAGTCAGAGCCTTGATGCAATGTTCCCATGCAAACTTGAAATGGAGGAAAGCTGGCTTTTTCTTTGTCACTGATTGGCAGATACTCGCCTATTGTCTATTTCATAATTAGAATATAATAATGGGAATAAACTTTCTAATAGTTTCTCATTATACAGGAGATCAAATAATAAAAATACAGGTATTGGTGGATAAATTAGATTCTAATTTAGACATCTAATTTGTAGTCTCTAAAAACCTCGTTTAGTATAAGAATAGCAGGAGATTAAGTTTAACGATATACTTTTAAATATCTTAGTAGTTTGATCTAGTTTTTGATATGTTAGTACTATTATTTAGTTTAGAATATGTTAGTAGTTTGATCAGGTTTTGAATTTGAATACGTTACAAGATCGGCATATCATACAATTCTTAAAGCATTTCTTCAATTAATATAATATTATGATTTGGTTTTCGATTTAGAGATGTCTAAACATTTGATGACAACTCAGACGCCATTAGAGACAATTCACACATGCAGTCTGATAGAGACATAGCTAGAGTTTGCAGTGGGTGATTAGAACACGACTGTTAGGGCAGACACAGACAAAATCATTAGAGAGAGACAGGGAGACTTGAAACATAAGGATTTTTTTTTCGTAATAATAAATTTAAAAAAAAAACAACAAAAAAAACACTATAATTTTAGCTGTACAGACTTCTCTTATTAGCATTCTAGTAGAAACATAAATAGTTCATGAAATTATTGGGACCAAAAACTTCTTCAAAAAGACATTCTATGGCATAACTTTGTGGAAGTGAGCACGAAAATTGATTTATTTTTTAAAAGTAAATCTCATGACTAACACAAAGCTAATCATATAAATATATTATATATATGTTGCTCGTCCGTCGAGGATCGACGATGACCATCGAGTCGTCCAGTGACTGATGACTTGCGCTAGTGACTTTTGTTTATAGTGAGGAAGAGTTGCGCGGCGTCAACCTCACTCTCTCGTCCGGGCCCAACATATCCGGTGGCAAGACTCTACGTAAAGACGACCAGGTATGGGCACGGTTGCAGGAATTGTCATTGTATGCGCCCTACGGGACTCCAACTCCGGGTCAAGCAAAAACATCACCACGGGTGGATGAGACTCGTTAATCTTGGTCGGCAACTCATCTAAGAATATATATATTTACAGATCAATGGATTGAAAATTAATTTAAACATTTTAATTCTAATTACGGAATCTATGGCCTGCAACTCCTCATCAAATGCAACAACTAAGGAAACTTTCATTTGAGTAATGAGACGCCAGAAGTCCACCACTGTTGTTGGGAGTGGAAGTTGTGTGATGATATCTTGATTCCTTTTTCTGAAATTCTGAAATATGCAACACATAAAATATAATAATTATTTTATACTTGAGCTGTAAAACATTGAAATATTGAAATATATTTATAATTTAACACGACGCTTATTAGAATTGAACTTAATCTTTCTATACATTTTAATACATTATGTCTTACAGAAGGCGTTGTAGGTCTATGAACTTTGAACAGATCTATCTTTAATTACCGGTGTTAACACTGCATTGATGTAATCTCCCATTTCACTGGATTCACACATAAGTACAGGTCGGTAACTTTTCTCTAATGGAAAATACAAAAATGCAATTACCATAATGAAACTTTATTAACATTTGCGCAAGAAAGTAAATAAATAAACCATATGCACAATTTATTAATTTTTCCAATTTTACATAAGTTAAACATTAAATACTCCCAAATATAATAGAAATTGGGTATTTTAGATTGTTTTTCTTATTGGAGTATGTGATTTAAGTAAAACTGAGTAATCTGGTAGCAACTACTCATCCTTATCTTTCTACGTATCTCATGCCCTACTCTAAGCCTGTTCATAAGCTTCAATGAATGGATAATACAATTGAATGCAGTCAGTTCAATCCAACATATGCTCAAGCGCAATATGCTTATATAAGCTGGTTTAAAGTTTTATGAGAAAATATGTGAACTTTTTATTTCAAAGGGTCCAAAATAGTCTACGGCTCTTGAAATTTTTACTTGTACATAAATACATTTATGCCATTTCAATAATATGAAACAAAGGAAAACATTTCTAAAAACTTTGTTAACTTAAGTTTTGTGTATAGCAATTCAAAGTGTCACTATAGTAAAAAGTATAAAGCATAATATTTAATGTAACTTGGATACGTTTACGGGGGCAACTTATTAACAAGATGTTATTTTTAAAGAATACATTTATAAACTAACTTGGCAAGATGTTTCCAAATCTGTTTTTAAGTTTATTGGAGACAGTTCGACTGTTTTGGTAAATAAGTCCAGCTGATTCTTCTTCATCTGTAAATTGACTTTCCTCCACACAAACGCTGCATACAGCCTATATGTAACGCAAAGATTGCAGCTATAATATATTGACTAAAGCATCTTTAAATTTCAAATATTAAACTGAAATGGTAAACAAATTCAACATTTTTGGATATCGATTTTTAAAAAAATGTAAACTGCATCTGGTGTAAGAGAATTTTGAAACTTTAACATTTAAATAAATGAACTTATTAAAGTAAAAACTCAAAAGTTCATATCTCAAATGTCAAAACTGACAAAATTAAGCTACAATAGACTTTGTCACTGAAATCCTCTATTGTACATGCCTTTATTTTTATAACACTTACATCAAACTCTATTTCCATTTTAGTTTTACCAGAGAAGGTCTTTTTCTCCAATTGGTGAATCCTGGTTACAATATTATTGGATGTTATAGTTGTATTGATACAGGTCGTGGCAGCCTTGGCTGCCTCATGCAAGAACACATATTGTTCCTGAAATATTAATCATCAACATTTCAAGGAAGAAAAATGGTTAGGCCTATTTTTTTTTTTTTTTTTTTTTTTTTTTTTTTTTTTTAAAGATAATATATGAAGGACTGCGTTTAGAACACGTTACGTGGAAGTTGAAATAGAACGATAGGACAATAAAAGAAGAACTTTAGGCTAAGAGGTTTACTCAGATTAAGTGAAAGACTCATATCCAGTAACAATTCAATTTGATTATCGTCAAAAATATAGTATCTGTTTGATAAATATCAACAGTTTATGAGGCTGTTTCGCTAGATCTAAATTTGATGAAGTATTTAATAATGGCACAAGTCTTGGACTTAAGTATTTTTTCATAAATGTATGAAAACGGTCCTTTTCAGGTTTTTTGAATACTGTTGTATCGGAATAGATTATTTTTCAAGTTGTGTGTTAGATGCCGTTCTTGCATTTATAAAAAAATGATTAATACATTCAATTTATAATACTCTTCGCTTCATAAATCATTCTAAAGGAATGCAGAGAGAAATAATAAAGGCATAGAGCAAATCACAAAATAAGGCTAAAGAAAAAAATAATGTTAAAATATCTCACAGCTGTCTGTATCATCATCGTCCTGTCCTGCCTGAGTTTGGCCACAGTAGTGAAAAAATCCATCTGTTGTGTATCCTCAGCTTCTCTCATTACGTTACGTAGAGCTATGAATGTTCCTGTACGGCCAACACCAGCACTGAAAAAAAGGAAAGATATAGTTTAATTTATATAATATGCAATTTTCTTTTAGAATTTAGACACATTAATGTAAAGATGTTTGGAAAAAACTCAAATTCAGGTAAAATTTAATTTGTTTACACATCTTCAAAATGATGGTCTCAAAAATAAACAATATACTTTTTAACCATCTTTGAAAGCGAACATTTTCATAACATTTTTTTACTTTTGTCAACTTTTTAACGATACATAATTTCAAATTTTAGGATTTTGACTTATATTAATCTAGTCTACTTTAATTTTTGTTACAATGAAAAATTTTCTCCCCTCCTCAAATAAAATCTTCAATGTCTCTCAATATCTCAGCCTAATCCACGATTCTTTACAGAAATGCCTCAAGTTATGGGAAAGAGAGTAATAGTTATGTTTACCAACCTGCAGTGAACCACTATGGGCCTTTTGGTGGCAATAGCCGCTACTCTTTGTTCAAAGTCCACTAGAGCCCAGGGGTTTTCTGGTACACCATTGTCTGGCCAGGATGTGAAGTGAAACTGTGTCACTGGGTGCATTGGATGGGAGTCCTGGATTTGTGGATAGAATTGTTAACTAAGTTTAATAAATTTTCAACTTATGGACTATGCATTCAAATATTTCAAATATTTTCTAAATATGATAATAGATTTTGAAAAAAAAGTCTATAAAAATACATAAAAGCTTCTATTTCGTTTTGAATAACTAGTTCATATTATTTATTTTCTTAGTTCAAATCTTATGAGGATGAATTATAAATATGTTTTACCTTTGAAATATATATTGTTAACCGACTATACAATAAAATGCAACATTTACTCAGGAAAAATGTGTATATCTCATTATGAAACGAACACTTAACTGTCACATATTAACCTACCATGTAAAGTTGAAGACGCCTTATAATGTAATCAGCAAAGTATTGTGTAGCAGCAAGTTTCACACATATTTGTCCAAATGTCGTCTCACCCTCATCTGGCCAGTATGGATCACACTTGGACTGGTTAAATTAAATGTTTTCAAAATAAGCACTTGGATTATTGAAATATAATGATTTCATGATCTTCATATAACTTTGTACCTCGGTCTTTGCACGAAGGCGGATGTCAAATGCGAGAACGATGTATAGGTATTCAGTGTATCCCAGCGCTCCATGCTAGTGTGAATCAAAGAAAAAATCCAAAAGCTTAATTTCTTTCATTTCAGTTCGCTTTCGGGACTCCACCTCCCCTAGTCGAAAGTATGGAGGCACGTGGGTCGCTATCTTCACTTTCTTGCGTAAACCACCATCTCAGGTTGACGCGATGACAGGTTTCACCTGTTCGAAGACTCTGACTTCGATGTGTTTTGTCATGGATATAATGTGTTGTTGTCGACAAATTCAAACAAAATTAATGACCCTATTTATAGCGCATTTAGTTAAAACTGCTTTGCATACATTTTTTCTATATTAGCGTTTGTTTGTTCATAAACATTAAATGCTATTCTGATAATTTGAGTGATAATAAATATTGGCAATGCCGTTCAAGTATTGTGATTGGCATTCATTGTTGAAAGAATATATTTCTCATTTCAATTATCTCTATCTGTGTGGCTACATTCCATTCAATAGAATAATAAGACACATAGGCCCAACTAAAAAGGCAGCGTAGCAAATAAATAAATATTTAATTTTTTTGACATTTTTATACTTTCATGAGTAATTTTCAAACATTATTATCAATTTTTATTCTGTGCATTTATTGATAACATGGGGGTATAACAGGCCTACAGTGTGGGCGTATTTTATTTCTTAAAAAGCTTGCTATATATAAATATATATATATAAAACAACAACTTACTTTTCCATCTTCAACAAGATTGGTCAACATGACAACTTTTTCAACTTTTTGCTCCCAAATCATTCTAATGAAGTCGTTTAATATAATCGTGTTTGGTCCTAATAAGATCAGAGCAAAAATTACGTTTAAATTAAACATTAATGTCAACATTACTTCTTATTTTAAGTAGGCCTTTATAGAATATACAATATACAACATACAACACTATGATTTGACAATTCATTATACACGTATTTCATCTGAAAATATCTTTAATATTGTATAATTTTTTTTAAAAATTGACGTCATGAATATTTACCCCACCTTGAGATGCTATAAACTTTTCCTCTTCGTTGTATCCCTGTAAAAGAAGATGACATTTTCTTTTGTCCATACAACACAGACGATATTAATTAAACCATGAGTTTATATAAAATTTAAAGTTTTTTTGACTGAATCATCTTAAATATTTAGAGATACATAAAATATATTAACTTTTCATTACGATTTTATTTTCTCATGTGAACTAATGAAATAAAAGATGTCTAAATTAACTTTGAAAGAAAGAAGAATATGAACTAATATGATGATGTATTTAAAGTCTATACAACGAAACGCTTTGGTGAGAGATGAAAGGATATACAATAATAAATAATCAGACTGATGGTAGAGATTAAATATTGTACTAATATAATGCACAATCTTATATTTAAAAACCAAAACCGTCAAAATTTATTTATTATAGCTTTGATATTTTTTTAGTTTGGAAGGCCAATTGGGAAGTGTCCTAATTGAACAAAACTTTGAATTTATTGTCCCACGTTGTGCATTTATTGATAACATAGGGGTATAACGGGCCTACAATGTGGGCGTATTTTATTTCTTAAAAAGCTTGCTATTAGGTCATTACTACTAGATATTCTGTCTTACATATTCACAAATATCATGTCACTCATAGTATTTACTTTTAAGTACGATGCATTTATGTAATCACCGTGCAATTTCATTGAGTCAGCTTCGAGGTGAACCCTTGAGTGATCATCTGTGCTTAAAAGAAAAGGATACATTACTTTATTTAATAAATGCTCAATATTTACATTGTTTTTATTAACTTATTATAGTTAATAATTTTTTTAAATAGTGATAACAAGTAGTGTTTGCATATAATGATATACATATTTCATTCTAATCATAAAATTAATACTATAGTATATGAAAATCAACTATGCTAAAAGCAATAGTTCCAAGGAAACAAACAATATATTATTTACATATTTTATTTGCAATAAATGTTTTAAAAGTCCACGCCATTTCTTCAATAAAATAAAATCTACATTTTTAAAGGATATATAAAGGATACATAAAGGATATATAAAGGATACATAAAGAATATATCAAATAATAATGACTGATTCTTTTACGATATAAATATTTAAATATGTAAAAAATGAATTAAATCTTTATTGCGGCTTACATGCACAAATATTCTTGTATCGATTCTTGTTTCTATTCTCAGCACTTAGACTCACTGTCATTGTAGCCTCTGTGTTGACTGGTAAATTCTAAAACAGTCAGTTAAAAACGAAATTTAAATGAGCTCCTTAGCGCTTATTTGGCAAACATTTTGAGCCAGCTAATTTCTTTTTTATTTTTTTTGAAAATCATAGCCCAACATCATTTTAAAGATATCCTTGGTATTCTACGCATTGATGTAATGTCAGATATAAATGTATTTAATGTATACTACTTTTATAAAAAATGTAATGTCTAAAGGTCAAAGTACAGCCGTAACATAATGTAATGGACTGAAATTACTGCTTTAGGACACACTAAAAATTACAAAGAAACAAAAACTCACTAATACCGCAGGAACATTTTTTTAAAAACTTCAAGTTGTAAAATTAAAAATAAATACTGAACAAGAACTGCACCGTTAAATCAATTCAAATCATTTCAGCATCACGTTTAACCTCTTACCTGAAACTGCTCATGAAGATGGTCTTTGCCATGAGTAAGAAGATAACTGCGAAGATTAGACACTGGGATAACTGTTGATGCTGTTACAGGCTGTACAGTCACTGTGTTATGATGTACAGTTTCTTTTTCTCCAGAAGTTATTTCATCTTGAATGTCTGATAGTGTTTGTTTTTGAGGAATCGTAGGTCTCACTGAAAGATTTAAATTCAATTCATATTTACATCATTCTCATCATTGATTCCTTGGTCAATTTAACTTGTAGGTACTAATAGAATGTTGGAAAGGAAAGAATCCTTTTATTGAAAATGATCTTTGCCGTAAGTTCTCTCATGTCAAGCAATTGATCTAAAATAAACCAACTGGGCGATGTCAAATTTATTTAAAATACATTTTTTTTAAATAGTGATACAATTACAAGGTAAAGTATAGTCGCAAGGTCTTGTTACGCACTGACTTGTATTGGGAGAAGTTAATCTCCTATTTTAATTTTAATTTTTAATTGGCTCGTTGTAAACAGTGCCTAACAAAGGACGAAACCCTAGAATCAACAATATTAAAGATACGACCCAAAACGGTTTCTAGTTACAATTAATTAAGATTTATTATGTCTTAAGATAATTGCAAAATAAAAAAAAATAAAATTACAATCTTCAACTTACAGTATGGTAGATCTCGTACCGGTACACAGTTAATACAATTAGAAATAATGATGCCAATAAATAATGCGAAATAAACACATATAAGTAGGAGCACACAAATACACAAAGAATAAAACACGCCTCGTAATGTTAAGAGAATCTATAAGAAAATCTCCCTCCCTCGTCGTGCCTGTCAATCCCTTATATAGGTGGGTCTACCGACGCCTAAGCCCTGCCTTCTACAAGCTACATGACATTTCGAGAAAAATCCCAATCATTCTACCAAATACTATTTGGAACAGATTAATTATTTTTATTCGTTGGCGGCGTAAACAAGAATACATCAAAGACCTAAGCCACGCCCCTTTGTGAACACAGCGTCTCATGCGGGGTCAATCAGAGGGCACGCACGAGAAATATGTAAACAAGCTATCTATAACAGTCTAAACGCCATTGGTCTTTTCCAAGTCAATGGCTGCATTGATTGTCTATACACGACTTAAATGTTCGGTCAATTATTAGAAAGCATAGATATTAAAAAATATAGAAATTAGCTGGTTAAATTATTCTAAAGTAAGGCTTTTACTTCGCATTATTTGCATTCATGTAATAAAACGGATATATGATGGTTTGGATTACTCTATGAAATTATTTTTTTTAAAAAACGAAAAATTCAGCGAAGAAATAGGGACCCTAGTTCTGCACTTATGTTAATCAGTTTATATACATCTAATCTGCATTTTCTTATACGTATGTATACATAATATATATGCTAAGTTCAGTTTTGAGTTAGGAATAATAGGAAATATGTCAATCAAGTTCATACATTTTTTTAACTTACCGATGGAATTCAAGTCAAATAGATATATGTGTAATTTCCTAAACTTCTATAGCAGTTAAGCTGCAAATTATTAGAATAGCAATTTACTTAAACGGAGTTTTCATTTACCTGTGAGTGTAGTTTTTCTATGTTTTTGCTCAGACGTAGATGCTACATAACTCAAGGAATCACCTTCGGTCAAACGGTCTATGCTGAAAGTGTTCCGTCCCCCTTGCAAATAGTCGGATCTCTTATTTAGTCTGTTGGTTGTTCCAAAATTAGCAAGATTAACATTTGACTATTTTAATCAGCCAAATAGGCCTTTAAATATCATTTAAAATGAAAGATTGATAGACCCTCAATTAGGCTCTAAATTCTAGAGTATCACCAATATGTACACGACAATGTCATTTGTGAATGGTGGTATTGTTTTTAACTACTAAACAATGTTTGATTGCTTTCATTACAGATTAGATTTTAGTTTACTCTCAAAGTTTATTTTAATTTATAACAAATGTATAGTAATCGAAGTTATTATAACATTGACAAACTGAACTCGTAAGATTTTGCAGTCTTGCTGTTGATAATGTCCGTAATGTATAATAATGATGAAGGTATCGCACATGTTTGTGTCCTCTCACATGGTACCTGATGCCACTATTTCGTACAAGGCCTTACATTTATTTTGGGGCCTACATTCTGATGGTAACATCTGATCCAGTCCACACCCTCCCCAGAAAGCTATTTACACTGCTAATTAGTATAATTAATATAGTATAAGATGCTGGCACTTAAACACACTTGATATCGTCATTAATGACGTCATTTTAACTGAAATCCTTAAAAAAATCAAATGACTTTGTCTTCATTTATTAATTTTAGCTCCAACTCTGCGTGTGTGTGGAGGGGGGGGGGTGCGTGGCTGTTCTGTATGCGTGTCATAAATGATTTTTAGTGGAATTTTTTAAAATACAATAACGTAATAAAAGGTACAGCCATTCACTTTGTCAACATATTTCTCAGATATTTATTCTTTAATTCATTGATTCCTTAAATCTATGATTCAATATGAAACAAATATTAATATAATAAAAAAAGTATCTATTCTTACCCTGGTTTAGTATTTAAGATTATATTGCCATTAGTAAGTATGCTTGATGTTTGTTTCAATTTAAATGTTTGCGCACTTTGTTGTATTTCAACGTGCACCATTTCTCAGAGAGACATCTTCAAATATTGTCCGACAGAATTTCCACTTAAAATAAATTGTATACATCCTTACCTCCACAAAAAGAAGGCACCACCGATGATCAGCACTACAGCGATAATACCACACATGGAAGCAACCACCGCTCCTATAATTGGATTTTTATTATCATCAGTATTTGCTGTGAGAAATAAATAAACGATTCATCTTTTTAAGAGAAAAAAAAATTAAATGGAAAATAAAAAACACATACATTTTATTAAAATATTAGTATGCATAACGAGCAATCGATTTTGCTTATTACCCCCCCCCCCCCCCAAAAAAAACAGGACCGCTGAACGCAGACAAGCATTTGTGAGGGTTTTGAAACAAGACTCGTGTTCTCACGTAGGAAGCGCCCCCCCCCCAAAAAAAATGCATAGACATGTCATAAAAATGGTTTAGTTGAATGTTTAATTTATTATGGAAACAGCTTTCAATGTAGAAAACAAAATGCTCAAAGGTATTTGACTGAGTCAATCATAGTTGGCTATTACACAAACTATAGAGATATGGGATCCTAGGCATTCCAAAACATTTATCTCTAGGCTCATCAGGGACCGATGCCAAGCATTAGTGGTAGACGGCACAACCTCGGTGTTAAGTCAGATGTTCCCCTGGGCTTGGTGCCTGTCATCAATTTGTTCCTAGCATATATCATTGACCTGCCCAAGAAGCTGACATCCCAAGCAATGCTATTCGCAAACAACACGACGGGAATAGGACTATCGCCAAAAGTTCTGACTAGGACCAGCTGCAACAGAGCTTAATCAGTTCGCTGAGTTAGCGATGAGCTGGTGCATCGAATTACATGGCGATATTCTTGAGCCAGCTTTCTCCGTAAGGTACCTCGGTGTTACCATTCAAAGTCTGTTGGGACGACAACATTAACCATGTGAGGAACCGGGAAAACAAGACCAAGGGTTCCTAAGGTGAAATCTGAAGATCGCCAACTCCAACGTGAAAGAAATTAAGCATTTGTCCGGCCGCTTTCATAGCACGCATATTTTGTCTGGGACATATTGACTCAGAAGAGCATCGACAGGTTGAAGGCGGTCCAGCAGCAGGCAGCATGCTTTATCCTGAACCGCTACAGAAACACCTTAAGTCTCAGCAGCATGCTGGAAACACTGGTCTCGTCACCATTGGAGGAACAATGACGACTATCCAGGTTCTCCATGATGTACAAGATACAAAAAATGGGCTGGTCCACTGCTACAGCATCAAACAGAAACTCATCCTTATCCCCTCTAAACAGCGACGATACCATAACAGGCAGTTCCGGTCAATAAAAATACCAACTCAGAACAGGAGCTCCTGCCAAAAACAATAAAGGACTGAAACAAGCTTAAAAAGGCAACAGGTAAGGTGACAGGTGCTTCCTGTCTTCCAACCCCCAATTCATATTACCATTACTGAGTAGCCCTTGTAACCAGTGAAGTAACCCTTTCAAAAGCATGCACAGTTACATCACAAATCCCCACCCCCCTGAAAGACAGGAGCAAGAATGATCAATACATTGATCGTGGGCCCTCAAAATATAGAAGAAGGTGAAAAACGAAGATCCCTTAAAATTGAGTAATTAAGGAAATATAAAAATACAAATTGTTAAAACCTTCAAAGGTATAATGTTAAGTATCTACACAACAGAGCAGCTAGAGTTAAAGTCATTCATGTCTAACTTACATCAAGGCGCGGTGGTCGATCGATCCCAACTTTTTTACTTACCGGCAGAATATGTTGTGCAGATAACAGACATTTGGCTATCGAGAAAATATTATTAGGCAATCTACAGCCCATAAAGCCTAGATCCGGAAATTTGTACGAATTAAATTTGTTCGAATGTTAATTGTTCGATGGAAGATTTTGGAATGTAATTTTTCGAACGGATTTTGGTTTTGGAAAAATAATTTTTACAAAACGTTGACATTTTCCAAATTTCTCAATCCCTAATCACCTTTTAATAAAAAAAATAATAATTTCAATTAACATATAATGAATCAATGGAGAATCCTAAATCAAAGAATATAGAATTCCTTAGAAAGTTTACCTTCATCACAGCGTAATCCTTTGTAACCAGCTGGACAACTTATACAGTTGCCAGAGCTGATATCACAGACTGAATCTCTACAGTAGGTAGAACAAGATATCGTACAATTAGCGCCGTAGAATCCACGTTTACAATTCAAACAGTTCCCATCTCTGACGTCACAAATAGGACCAGTTTGTGAACAAAATTGGGAACAATTTAATTGACAGGCAGGACCATAAAAACCGGAATTACAATCTGCAAATTTAAGAGATCAAAACATTTTGGGCCTAAACGTTGCAAATATCATGTTGCCTAAAGATTCAACATTTTGAACTACAAGTACCAGAAACTATAGATATACTGTCTTTAAAAAAAAAATAAAAAAATCATCAAACATGTATGATCAGGGATATAACGTTAATTTGCTTCCAAAAAGGGAGCTAAAACATTTCTGGGTTTTTTTTTTCGGGAGGGCGGGGGGTGGGGGGGGGGAAGGGGGGGGTTAAAATTAAACAAAAATGTTTATTTTTTTTTTTATTTTGGGGTCGACCGCTGATAGAGATCGCACCAGGAGTTGACGCTAATGTATATATTAATTACATTTGAATCATTCCAATAAGTGTGTGTGGTTTCAAAATATAACTGAAATGAAAAAAAAAAATCTAGGAGATTACCAGTGGCTTATCCATGGTAATCCGCAATAAGTTTTTTTTGAGGTAGGTGGGAAGGGATTTTTTTGGGGGGGGGGGGGGGGGGGGGGGGGGCGGCGGGTTCTCTGTCAGTCACAACCGGGATATTTAGTTGGATAATATTTATATCATTAAAAGCTAGGGAATGCTCATAATTACGTTATCAAATATGTTTTTTTGGCATTCTTTAGACTTTGTATTGCAATATTTTTGAATAATTCGAACAAATCATTTCAATTTCTAATTAATGATCGTTTCGCTTTTAGTTTTGTAAATTTAGTATTTTTTCGTCAAAATAATAATTAATTAAGTTATTTAAGGGGTATGGGGGGGGGATATCATCTAAATCCCCTTTCCGATGTTGTGGGCCTTATGGCACTTAATAGTTTTTACAAACATCTACCAAGAAATAAATTAAAAATAAATGATAATAAAGGAATGACAATAAAGGAATGACACTACCATATCTTACTACGTCTTACGATCTTAAAATTATTCTTAATTTTCTTTTTTTTTCTAATTCGCATTGTTAAAAAAAGCCATTTTTATCATCTTTACAACTAATTTCATTGACTCGTCCATTTTTAGGCAATATACGGTTTGGAAGTTATACTTTTTTTTTCTTCTCAATATCATTTTCAATATCTTTAATACATTTTTATTGCATCGACCAATTAAAGAAAACTTTTACAATGTCATTTTGCATATCACAAGTAAGAAATGCTCCGTAGCAATATAACAATAAGTGCCATGATGAGCCTATTTCAACAGCAAAGGGCTTCATAATAAACTGTTATAAAATCTCAGAATGTAAAAATATTTAAATTAATTTTTTTCCTCTTAATGAACTTCTTTCTGTCTATTCACCCCCTCGAAAGTTTCGGTCCTCCGCAGACAAGCGTATTCCTTCTGTTCCAAGAACTTGCACTATACCATAATTATGGTGATCAATCTTTATCTTTCTGTGTCCCCAAACAATGGAATTCCATCCCATTACACATTAAGCTATTTACAAATTGTTGTTTTTAAATGTATAAAACTGCATATTTTTTGTGTGAAGTGAAATGAGCCTAGGCCTTGACTGGGGTACTGCGCTATATAAAACCACATTAATAATAATAATGATAATAATATAAGATTATTGTAAACAGTAATAAGATTATTGTAAATAGTAATCTTTGTTATTATACTGGGGCAATAAATATTATTTGCAATGCCTAGTTATTATAATGCAATGGCTATTTGATGCCTTTATCACAAGGATGTATACATACCTTGTGTGCAATGAGGTAGCTTCTTGCCACGTTCAGCACAAATGGTACATTTGCCATCAATTTTATTACACTCCAAATTTAAACAATCGTTACATTTATTTCTGCAGTCGACACCATAGTAACCATAGCCACACTCTGAAAAAATATAAGAAGAATTAACGTTTCCCAGAGAGTTAAAATACAATTTAAGTTTGTGTACATCTCATAATTGATAAAAAATTATGTGGGAGATTCTAAGAGAGTATGTTTTAAACTAGAAAAGTGCTCTGGACGATGAGTTTGATCGTGCTTAAAGTAGAAAAAAAAATTAAAATTTCTATAAAATGTGTTGCGCAAAATAAGTCTGTGCAGATGTTCAATTAGGTACTCTATTAAACAAAAGAATCCATTCGAATCTAGAGGAAACTTAAGATTAAAAATAATGTATTTTTTGGATAGAGTTTGAATAAAACTTTTTAATGAATATATTGTGAATGACAAATAGGCTTCAAATCGCAAATAAGAAATGACCTACGTTTTGTGCATCCTTGTCCATAATGTCCAGTCTTACATCCAGATGGACAGTTTCCTGTACTAACAAAACACTTTTCACCTTCTAAAGCACAGTTACAGGCGTTTTCACAATCACGTCCATATGTGAAACTTCTTTGTTCATTTTGATCACAAAATGAGTCTGAGAGAAAAATTATGGCACATTATAATGGTTTGTAAAATTAATGTTTTAACTTTTATTTACCCGTAGTAGAAAGCTTTGTTCAATATAGTTGACCAAACCATAACAAATTAAATACAACATTATTAAAACGTTGTCAGAATGTAAAATGTTAACAAAGATTTTATAAGTTAAGTTATGAGAAAAAATACGCGCATCTGCGTTCATGTCGAATAAATGAGAAATATACATATGACGGAACAAAACTTTAAGAAGGACAATAACAGAAAGTGGACGTGTCCTCAAAAAACCTTCGTCATCAAAAATAATTGAAGACAGACACATTTTTAATAACAATTTTCGAAATAGTTTTCTTTATTTTCGTGCAATATTTTTACTTTTGAATTTTTTTAGATGACTGAGGTATGCCGTGTTTCGGTCAAGTATGTTATTCTTTTATTTCTGTAAGTAATTCATTTCTTTCATTTACCGCATCTCATATGTATTTAAATTGATTTATTTATCTACAAATGTGGTTTATAAGTTAGTGGCGGCTTCGTCTGTCTGTTCTTGTCTCAACATTGACAAGAATTTTGTTTTTGTGTTGTTAACTTCCAGTCCTGCTTGTAGTGATGCGTCTTCTAATTCAATAAAAGGCTTTATATGAATTAAATATTTTTCCTTAAGAGGGATATGTGATAAGCACATCCAAGATACGAATGGGGTTGATTGTAAAGAGTTCCCATTGATTGTGGGTCTTGGTTTTCCCTAAGAAAATACCCTGTTATTGTTCCTCGGGTGAATGTATATATGCTCTTATAGCTCCGCTGGGCAGGTCACTTAGAAAGAATGCCAAATGACCGAGGTGTAAATAGGGCGAACCACTAAAATCCTAGAGGAAAACAACGGAAAAGCAGACCTAGGCTTAGTTAAATGGATGCTGTGAAAAAAGATGTAAACAGCTGGAAATCCAAGCATGGACAGAAAAGCATCAGCAAGCTCTGAAGGGAAGAAAATGTTGAGGCAGGTCCAAGACATTCATGGGCAGTAGCACCTAAGGATGGAAAGACAACTATTTCCTCTGCTATTAAATTAGAACAACTTCGGTACTTAGATTATAATATGTTTCAAACGTATATTTTCAAGAAATCAGAATGACATGCCAAATTACAGATATTAAGTTTCTAGTTAAATAAAAATTAAAGTTGTTCATCAGATCAATGAAAATGATGTAGAGGGTAAGATTCTTTTACAATACTTTTATCTGCACTCAAAATACGTCACTTTGGGAAATGGCGTCGGTAAGCTGTGGATCCCGAGATATTATTGCCTCCCCCACCCGGCACACCACCACATTTGCCTTCGTAGCCGACTATCCCGAGTGTTTGGGCGGGTTAGCATCCACTCCGGGGGAAATGGTGTGGTGTTACCGCCCCCACCTCACAGGGATTCTTTCAGTCGGGACGAAAAGCTGGGACGAAACGGTTGCCTTTGAGCAGCTTTCTCACGGCTGCATAGCTGCACTCAGTTTATTTCACACACACACACACGCATATGCATAACATCCATTATCTTACCACCAAAGACCTCCACTTCACATAATGTGAGGACTTTCGTGTTAAATGGAGTTGCACCAAGGAAAGTTGCAGTAATTTGAGCCCTAAAGACTTGAGCCCAAGTATTTGTTGGCAGAACATAATACACAGTAAGTGGTGTTGTATTATTGTCTTTGTATTCTTGAAGCCTGTTATTTGATTTATCGAACGTTTTCAGCAAAAATTCTTTTAATTGGTTAAGACAACAATTTCTATCAGCTACAGCTGGAGATATTAAGAAAACAACAGTATTACCAAATAATTATGATATTCCTAAAAGCAGGTTCTTATATCAAATGCTAAACATTTTCTAACATGATTATAACATGATTATAATCCTATTACTTTGTGCATGCATATATTAAACACGATCATATCAATTTTGAGTTGATATAATATCTCCCGAAACAGACTAAAATAACAAGAAATTTTCAAAACTTCTATCTTGTGTAAAATATCATTGATTTCACCAACAAAAATAATTTTAAATTCTAAATTTGTAATATTTATTTCAGTGCAATAATTAAATATGTAGAATGGTTTTTATATAACATGACATAAATGATATAAAAATCAATTATCTACAAACTTCCATTTCTGTTGTAAATTGTATAAGTTTGCACTGTAACTGGATTTTGAAGGTGCAAAGTCCACGTCGGATCAAGTTCACCGCTAAGCTTTGTTTGTGTACAAGAGTAGTCGTCCCAGTTTGTGTAACCATCAACAGCGTTACTTGATGTAAAATTTTGATTCTCTGTCGATGTTTGATCAGTTTTCTGCTTCAGCGCAACATTTCGACCTGGCGATTTTAAGAGAGTGCGTAACGTGTTTATTGACCTCGTGTTTTCGTCAAAGAAAATAATTATTATTTGCAAGACCTCGCTATTATAATGCAATGACTATTTGAGATCATTTTATGCAATTAATGGGAAGGGGTTTGGGTTGCCTTAGCACTGCCAGCAGTAAGCTCCACGCTCTGTTTTATTACATGAATGCGATGATGGTAAATTGGATTTTTACAATCACCATGATAGTGCCTCCAAGTTAAAATAAAATACAATATAAAGACAGTTACTTTAAAAAATCAAAATCAAATAAGTTATCTTTTGATATTATAAACAATTAACAATGAAATTTTTGAATTAAATACTCCTAACTCCTTTTTTAAAGTTTAATAGTAAATAAATAAATCTAGCAAACTTGTTCACTGCTTCCAGATATAATATAATTTTGTTAAAGTAGAATTAATCAGAATATATAGTATCGAAGCAAGAATTAAATCAGGAAGTCCATTTCATTTATAAAGTATAAATTATCTTGACATATTACCCTGGCTGATATAAAGTGAACAGATTGTGTCCAATGCCGACCCATTCAGAACTATTTCGTGGACAGGTTTAGACATGTTACAATAAATGTCGATTGTAGTGTTGTCCACAAAGACATTTGAACATTCCAGCGGTTGTGTTTTTGGGTAGTCCGGAAACTTTATGGAAATGTCTTCTTTTTTAATTTCTAAAAAAACACATTCGAAATGAAGTATTCAATATAAGTGACTGATGGCATTACAATATAGGTTAGAATGTCTAAAGTATTGTAACAACACACATTCAATTTTGTTTAAACTTCCACATAACTCCATTTCCTTGTTAAATATCTTCATATGTTATTTAGAAATCAAGTAGATAATGTTAATACATTTTAAAAGATTCGAAAAGATTCTGTAATTACCAGACTTCTTGAAAACAGCCCTCAACCATATGAAATAAAAGTCAAATGTCCAGGTGACATCCAGTAATGAATTTGAGCCTGTTTGAGCTGCACAGGATGTATCATTCCCATCTGTAATCACTGTGATATCTCGTGCACTTTCTCCAACGAAATTTAGTGATGCCTTTTTTGCAATATCAGCTGGAAAAAAAAATTGTCAATTGTTTGGTAATTTTCTTATAATCGTTCCATGTCCTAATACAAAATACTTTTTCTTTGTTAAGATATAAGGAGCAAGGTTTGAAAGCAATAGTAATTGATTATAATTTAGTTATTTAAATTTTAGCGGATTTTATTCTGGAGCTATTTGAAAAGTACCAGAAACATTTGGCACATTTGGGTTTTTAACGTAGCTGGAAAAAAACAACAACACAAAACGCTTATAAGACGATTTAATTAAATAAGGCCTTGTACATAAAGTTCAGTGGCCTACCAAACTGACAAGCTGGACCAAACCATCCACTATCACATCCATTGGGACAGTCACCATTGGTAAAATTACAAGCTACATTGTTCTTACAGTGACATTTGTACTGGCATTTGGCACCAAACCACTTGTTGTTGAAACGGTCTGTTGTATTGCATGCTGTCAAATGACAAGATTGAGTACATAATTGCTATGTATTAATATTCTTATCATTTTATAGAAATGTTTTTCATTTTTATTTAAGACAGCTGTATATAAATACACATATTTAAAATGTTACTTATTTAAGATAGAAGTCCATAGCTCTATAAAACTCTATAAAGCTAATGTAAAGAATACTAGATTTAGAGAATTTAGAACTATTTTTCTCTCTTAAGAAACTGACTTAAATTATATGACATGACGACATAATAAAAGCCTTTAGAATATATATCAAACTATTTAACTGGCATTCTAATGCATTAATAAGTTTACTTTTATATTCCTTTATAAAACTTGATATAGTAGACTAGACTTACATTGACCAGCAATGACGGTGGCAGGGATCACCAAAATAAAGAGATAGACTGGCAATTGAATAGTCATGTTGTTGCTGTTTTGTATGAAGCAAATTTGTACCTTGAAAAAAATTGAAGTGAAAGTTAATAAAATATATCAGCTTTAGAACGCCGGTATTGTCTAAATTCAGATTAAGGCATGACGTCAAGCGTCACTGCTATTCAAGTTTCTTTGCTTCTATTTTCTTTTAATAGTTTTTCTGGATAATAAATTGGTAGACTGCCTTCAAACCATGTGAAATAAGTAAAGAGTTGAACAAAATACCGTTTAGCTTGAAAAATTATAGAGCGCATAAAATGATGTGTTGTCTTCAGCAGACAATACAAAACAAGAAGAACAAAATATATTTTTAAGTGAAAAACATCAGAGTTCCCAGAACAAAATGGAACAATCTCAGTCTTTTTTTATGGGAGGGGATATTTTATACAATGAATAATGTCATTACTGATTTATAGTGAGTAATAGAGATGCTTAGCAGGTAGCAATGTGGGAAAAGTTGTTGCAGAGTGGGAATATAACACACTAGAAATGTATCCCTGATTGTCGATCACTTTATCAAGAGAATCTTATATATTTAAAACATCATTTCATTACTTTTTATTTAAATAATGTAAGACTTATTTGTCCTGCTGACAGTTAAACCCCAAATTATTTAATATGTTATCCTTATCGTGTTTCCTTGTGCACATAAAAACAGTTTGTTTTCAGAAACGTTGGTGTATATTTTAAACATTTATATTAACTTCACTTTTCTCTGGGGGTGGCTAGCTGCCTGGCTCGGTGGCGGACTGGTTGGTCGGCAAAATCTTCGGAAGGCTAATAGACCTACTTCCCGTCAACCTATCGAGCTGAAACTTCCAAATAGACGTATTGCCGATGACAACTTATTTCTTCAAATTTTTAACCACACCCTCCAAAATCTTTTTTTCCTGTTTTATCAAGGGGGGGATGACGGAAATATGATTTCAAGAAATAAAATACGCAAATCTTATAAACTATTTGTCGATAAGTATAATTCATATCTATAATGTGATGTTATTAAATTAAACTTACATCATTTAATCCATTTTTGGTTTGTTTGAACAAGATTGCTTCGTAAGATATTCAAAATATCAATAGGTTAATGTAATAACGATCCCTTTAATAATTGTTTCTCCTCAAAAAGTGAAAAGTGATCTAACTAACACACTAACTAAAGGTCTGAGATTGCTATCTTATGATCCCGGCTAGTAAATTGTTAATCAACTCCATCTGTTGAGCTGAGCCATACTAAATTTTCCTGACAAAGATTCCTCCAACCGCCCTGGCTTCCCCTGGGAGATCTAGTGAAGGACATTCGGTCAACAGATGCTCCAGTGTCTCCGGGTCCAGGCTACAGTGCTCGCAGGTAGGATCCCTGAAGATCCACTAAGCAATTATTCTTATTCGTGGTATATATATACAGCATAAATGAATGTTCCATACTTCTTTCACTATCTTATAAATTGCTCTCACTTTATATTGTTTTAACTCTTATTTCTCTTTCTCTCTTTCTCTCTCTCTCTTTCTCCCTCTCCCTTTCTTTATATATATATATATATATAAATATATCTATGTTTCATTTACATTGAGATATGTTTACCCAAAAAACTCTTATCTAAATGACGTTCAAGTTCAATTACTTCCTGTTAACTATGGACTTGTAAACTGTGGACCTGGTTAGGTTAATTAAGAAATTACCACTTGAGCATTCAAAGGAATAATACAATTAGAGTCATTGTTTGTATATTTAAAAAAAGAATCATTACAAAAGAAATTGTACATCGTAACAACCCAAAGTTTTATCATTCAAGTCATTATATCTGCATGCTTTTTTCCACGTGTTGTACATATTAATGCGAGTTGATTTATTTAATTTTACACATGGCTTTTACGCCATGAAACTATATTACATTTTTAAAGATACATTTTAGATTGCGTCATGGAAACAGATATCACCTCTATTTTGATACAAAATAAGAACTGGCCGATAATTGACGCCCGGGAACAAGATTTATTTTTACGTCAGCCCCCCCCCCCCCAAACTTTTTTAAGTTAAAAATATAAACAATATTTTAATCAATAAAATACCCTAAAGGCCTATTTGACGGACCCTGCTGATCTGGTAACTTAGGACGATTGCCCCCCTATGCCCACCCCTGTTGCTACACCCTGATTTGTACCCTCCAAGTCTAATCTGGTAAATGTTTCACATTGTTAATGTCCATAATTTATTTTGAAAAAAAAAACACATTTAAAAGTGATAAATGACTTAATAAGAAAATTAAGAATGATGGCAACTTTCACTTAAATTGGAAGTTGTTCATTTTGAGGTGAAGTTCATTCCAAAAGGCCATAACATAGTTTCACTTGTGTGATTCTTAAAGAAGTAAAGGCGCTTTATTGTTATTAAATAGATAATGGTTACATATAAATATTATTGCATAGGTTTACAGCCGCATTAAAATTTGAGCTGGGAATAAAATGCAATGCATATGATTCTTTGTTATTCTGATAATAAAGAGTGTAGTGTAAACTGCAATCAGGTTTGGTAGAATGAAATATGCGAATAGAGGCATGGGGAAAACAGAAAAAAGGAAGGACGCAACAAGATACATTCGGGTAACGTCATGTAACCAATAGCTGTTTTAAAATGGTTTCATGTAGAGGAAGAAATTTAATTTACTTGTTGGAACTATCTTTCATATATGCAGTCCTCTATTATTAACTCTACTTACTCATCTGATTTCCTGTGCTTAGTCAGCCCACACTAAAAATGACACACTAAATTTCAACGCTCTTGACTAATAGCCTTTTCCTATGTTACCTATAACTATAGAACTTCCTTCTCCTTCCTTTTATAGAAACATAATCTCAGAAAAGCCTCTCTCTGTGTCTAGCCCCTTGACAAAGATCACCTTAAAAGGTAGCTCTTTATTATGTAACCACAGAGTAAGCAGTTTCATCACTATAGTGTCTCTTTATTATGTAACCAGAGAGTAAGCAATTTCACCGATATAGTCTTTAATTAGGTATGTTTTATTAAAATTCTGTTATTGATCCAAACAAATAGAATATTTCTTTTATTACATTTAAACATTCATTTTCAGCATGTAAATAAATACATATTTTAACCAAGACAAACCTAAACAAAGTATAACAGTTTAAACACAAGCCTTCTAAAGTATTTCTCTAGAATACATACATTAATGTATTCCTTTAGTGACATTAATGACTTAAGTAGGGATAATTTAGGTTTGTTGACTGTCACAGAACGAATTTCACTGAGGAGGGCTCCGGTCCTAAATAAAAAAAAACAAACTATTTTGAATTTGCAGTGTCAGTACAGGGCAACTCCTTATTGTGCTTTATATTTTGGGTATCTAGGCGTAGAGACAGACAAAAGCACAACCTAGACTTAAATCAATCCATGGAACAAAACTCCAGGTGTCCAGATGATGAAATAGTATATATATTAATTATTATTAAACAATACGCTCTTCTGTACAAAACACAATTCTAACCTTCTCAAACTATATCACCAACTGAATTGTCTCAAACTATTCCTCTGTCCAACTTGTTAACTGTAGTCTCAAATGATCTCTCTCAAATGTTCCCTCTCATCTGACCGTTGTCCCCAAACCTCTAGCTTTTATCTAGCCCCCAAGATAGGATGAACTACACATCAATAGAATCCATCGATTATTTACTTGCTACATTACTAGAGACTTACTTCATTACTCGCTACTTTCTACAATACCAGAGAATTTCTACGTTACTAGAGACGACATTCTCCCCAACAGGCTATTTACCCCCGACGCCTATTTCGTGTCTCTACCCGCTTTTTAACAGCTATCAAGTTTGCTTTTTTCTGTCACGATACTTCCTTAAATTAACACTACCCAGGGGCTGCATGGACATTCCACATTTACCAGGGAACTAAAAACGCATGACTCTACCTCATTCGGGATACCTTTTCCCACACTGACCCTCAGTGGTAACCTGATGTACCCTTGACCGGCTTGATTCCAGCGCTATATCTTCCCGGCACTAACATAAACCGTCATTAAATGCCAAAGTCGATCATATTCCCATAGTCAGTTTGACAACAACAACAAAAAAAGTTATGCATATGACAGTAAAAAATCAACGAAAGTAATAAATAATTTCTAATTCACTTGCTGACAAAAAGAATATTGTAACTTGAAAGAAAAATTTAAAAATAATTATCTATCCAAATGTTCTAGTCTATCATTAAAAAATAATTACTCTTAGAACCGTTTTGGAACTTAGTCATTAATCAGATACCAAAATTATGCTCAGTTTCTTTGTAACATAGTATTTATCACCATGTTATATGCAACCTCTGATTGTGTACATCTTACACGGTAACCTTAAATTACTGTACGAAAATTGACTCATCTCTTTTTCAGACTCCACCGATCAGGTTGAATGATTATCCACATGTTCAGGGATTAGAGAAACGGATAAAAATTCGATGATGGACCAAGTCTGCCACTTGAAGTTAGATTAGGA